TTCTTGTATTAGTGTTTTTAACAGCGGTGTTGGGGTCAATTGGTTTTGCTTATTAAGGCGGTAGAGGGCTGTCAAGTGTTCCTTTAGTTTTGCTTGTGATTTCTGCTTTAACGCGCTGGTTTTCCCTATGATCAATCCTCTGATTACTGGTTTATGTGCTAGCCATAGGGTTTCAGGGGAGGTGTCTGGGTGTGTGTTCGTCTTAAAGTACTGCTTAATCTCTTCGGCTAATTGCTCGCCGAACTGCTCGTTGTGTAGTATCGATTCGTTGAGCCGCCAGGGGCTGCGATGCTTATATTCATAAGCGTCATGTAGTTCTAAGGTGACAGGGGCGTGGTCTGACCACGTGATGGTGCCTATGGAGCAATCCTTTAGTTGGTTGAGGAATGTGCCTTTTATGTAAAACCCATCTATGCGTGAGTAAGTGTTGTGCGCTTGGGAGAAGAAAGTGAAGTCTCTCTCCTCCGGGTGCAGCACTCTCCATGCATCATACAAATCGTGCGCACTCATCAGTCGTGTTAGAGGTTTGCATTCCCGCGTCAGTGTTGCCGCTCTAGGTGTGTGGGTTGGGACCGACGTGTCCCATCGTGGGTCCAGAATATGATTCATGTCCCCACATATGAAAGTGATTCCCCTTTGTAGGTGTGCTAGCTGTGTGAGCAATTTATGTAAGAAGTTTCTTTGGTTTGTGTTTGGTGCGTATATGTTGATTATCGTGTATTCCGCGTTGTTAATTTCGCAGACCAATATTATGTATCGCCCTTGATTGTCTACGTGTTCATATATCAGCTTAAAGGACACATCCTTACTGATTAGGACTGACACCCCCCTTGTTTTGGACGTATAGGTGCTATGGTACTGCGTGGGGAAGTATGCCTGCGCTATGGTCGTCGTCTGCTTGAGGTGAGTTTCTTGTAGGCATACCACATCTGGGCGTACTCTGCGCAGATCCCGGACTAGGCAGTGTCTTTTGACTGGGATGTTTAACCCTTTTACGTTATGGCAATATATTTTCATGTTTTATGGGGTATATTGCTGTTTGGCAATGCGGACCTATATCTGGCTGGGTTCTCCCTGTATTCCTTCCTACTCTCCCGTTAGCCCTGAGACTGTACTTTTGTGTCGTGCCTTTGCCGCCCCTGGTCCAATCGGCCGACTGGGTTTCCTGCGGTTTCCCCTGCGTGCTTGTGTTCCCTCTTTGCTGCCCATGCTCTTCAGCTTTGTTCAGTACCCTGGGTTTTAGTACCCTACTGGTGGGGGTGGGATGGGTGGGGTGGGTTGGACGGTGATGAACACTAACGTAACAGGTGTTCATAACAAACAAATGAAGCATTACATCAATCAACATATATACAAGAACAATAACAATTATTTGCATTTCCCAATGTAGGGTTGGGCACCAGCTAAATAGTGCCGTGTGTGGACGTGGTTGTCTTGTGTGTTTCTGTGGGTAAGGGTTTATGTGTGAGCTTGCTGAGCCCGATATTTGCTGTCATGTTTCTTTAGGCAGCTGTACTTTAACTGCCCTGGTGTAGGACCTGGTAATGCCTAATTATGGTGTGCATCATAATGGCAGTATACTTCTCCTTTCGTGGATTTTTTTTTTTTTTTTTTGCGCAACACATTTGTGTCTCTTTCTTGTCCTGAGTGGTGTGCTTTGTAATATCTCTGCCCTCTCGGTGGGCAAAAGTGTTTTTTTTTTTTAAGATTTTCCCCGTGTTTGTTCCCTGTCGCCTGTGTGTCTGTCGTGTGTGCGTGGGTATCTAGCATTGTGTATACGACTCCGTGGTGTGGTGCAATGTCTATTATACTTGCGGCCGAGTTGTTGCCCGTCCGTGGCCAGGACTGCGGACTGTTGTACTTCACAGTCTTTATTGTAATTGTTCAGTTCATTTCTTGGTTCTTTTCCATTCCGGGGATAGCCTGGCTGGTGCGGCCATATTCTTCCCCACCGGGTTCACTGGGATGTTCCAGTTGCGCAGGATTCTCCGTCCCTCTTCAGGTGTGTTGGCTGCCGTCACCGTACCATTTCTCCGTATCAGCAGACGGATCGGATATCCCCATCTGTATTGGACGTTGTTCTGGCGCAGTGCTTCCGTGACGTCTTTAAATTCTTTTCTCTTTTGCAGCGTGGCTGCTGACAGGTCTGTGAAGAGTTTGATGTTTTTGTATTTCTGTGGCAGATCACGACCCCCTCTCGTAGCTTGGAGTAGTGCCTCCTTCACGTGGAAATAGTGTAGGTGTGTGAGCACATCCCTAGGGGTGTCTTGTGGTAGGAACGTTGGCTTCTGTACTCTGTGGTATCTGTCTAGGAGCAGTACCTCAGCAGGTAAATCTGGCGCCAATTCTTTAAAATATCCGATCAGGAATGCATGCAGGTCTGGCTGCTTCACCTCTTCTGGGATACCCCGGAGCCGCAGGTTCTGGCGTCTAGAGCGGTCCTCCAGGTCCATGACCTTGCGCTGTGTGTATTCCAGTTGCTGTTGCATATGCTGCACTTGGTCTGCCACATCATTGTGTGCAGCAGTCTGATCTTCCATCTTTTGTTCCACGTGTGTCATCCTGTCTCCCAGCTCCTGCACATCTCTGCGGAGCTCTTTCAGAGTGCTCTGTAAGGAGGTTAGGATTTTGGTGGACATATCCTCTAGGCAGTTTTGCAGAAAATCTTGTGTGACCGGTAGATTTTGCGGCCCAGGGGAGGACTGTAGTGGCACTGTGTCGTTCCCGCCGTCGCCATCTTGGTCTCCGTCTGTGAGGCCTGCGGCTTTGGGCGTCGACGCTCTGGCTGCAAAAAAAACGGAACGGTCCGCTTTTTCGCCCTGCTTCTTCTTGGTTGTGTTAGCCATGTTGCCAGGTCGCAGGTGGGTCTGTGGGAGCTGATTAATGCTTTTATCTTTGCTTTGTCGGGCCAGCGTTATGCGGAGCTCAGATCCGAGCGACCATCCGCGTTGCTCGTTAGGCCACGCCCTCAAGTCCTTCTTTTGACCCATTTTGCCAAAGGAAAGGAAGTTGCCTAATAATTATGCACACCTGATATAGGGTGTTGATGTCATTAGACCACACCCCTTCTCATTACAGAGATGCACATCACCTAATATGCTTAATTGGTAGTAGGCTTTCGAGCCTATACAGCTTGGAGTAAGACAACATGCATAAAGAGGATGATGTGGTCAAAATACTCAAAATACTCATTTGCCTAATAATTCTGCACTCCCTGTATATATATATAAATACATTTAATTTATTTTAAAACATGTTTAATCATTTTTTTTTTATTCTTCCCACCAGCAGGGGGACTGTCTGACATTTCATACAGTCCCCCTGCTGGCAGATCCACAGCCAGCTATAGGGGGCCATGTGATCGCTCTTTGAGAGCGTTCACATGGCCTCCGGGGGCCTCATTTGCGGGGGAGGGCAGCCTGATCTGTTAGGCAGCCCTCCAGAAGAGGATCGCAGCGGAGGTAAGTACCTTGAGGCTCCTGGGGGCTTAAGCCGTTACAGCGTTCTATGCCGCCGCAACGGCTTTAAAGCCCATTTAATGCGGGACGGCATAGAACCCCGTAACTGCGTTAAAAGGTTAAAGAAGCGCTATATGCACCATAACCACCACAGCACTCTGTACTGATTATGATGCCGCCTCCCCCAATAAATTCAGATCTATTCGACATAGGACCTCGAGTCCACCTGGCACTGGTAACTTTCTGCTCTGAGAGAAGTTAGCTCCTACCGAGAGCTTCCAATACCCTCCTGAGCTAATCCCTGCCATACAGAGCTGATCACTCTCAGCCAGTGAGCTAAGCCCCTGCAATGCCAAGGAGCTTCTGGCTCTCATGGAGAATATAACTGGCACCAAGCAGATCCAAGGTAAGTTGTCAAACAGTTTGACAACTTACACCAGTCCTGGCACTTAACCACCACAGTGAACTGTAGTGATTATGGCGTTTGGAGTGGTCCTTTAAAACAATTGTAACATTACTGAATCTGCAATGTGTCTTGGACTATTTGTAAAGATGTCCAAGAACTATTCATGCCTTCTGTTGCAATAACCCAGTTTTGTTTTAGATTTAATATCCAGTATTTCCAGTAGCAACATACAGTCAGGTCCATAAATATTGGGACATCGACAAAATTCTAATCTTTTTGGCTCTATACACCACCCCATTGGATTTGAAATGAAATGAACAAGATGTGCTTTAACTGCAGACTTTCAGCTTGTGTTGATGTCCCAATATTTATGGACCTGACTGTATGTCATATATTGGGAGTTTATAGGCAATTGAGTGAGGGTGCCCCCTAAGGGCTGACACTAATGGTAGTGTCGCTAGCGGGGTTTCTGCTCTGATGTCTGGGAAACCAATTTTCTAAATGTACACACGATTCTGGGGAACATACCTTCAAAATTGTGTACACATGATTTGGTAGTGAAGGGGTTAAGCTTCACTTTTCACCATATGGATACTAGTGAATAATCCTCCAAATGATTTTCAATCGTTAACCCAAAATAGTTGCACTGAAAACATAGCTGACTTTAATTCCATTTCAGCTATTCTAGCAAAAAAAAAAATTTAAAAAAAATTCACTTTAAAATCTTGACAATTCACACTTTCCTCATAGTGATGTAAATCCCTTGGGCAACATGACAGCTCCTGTACAAATTAAACTAAACATAGACAGAAACAGGACATAGAGTCCAAGAGGTTCTGCAGCAGCCAAGACCTTTTTTTCAATGCTTCCAGTATCATACCTCCACCTAGCCTGTATTATTCCTGGGGTATTTTATACATTTATTGATAAATAAAAACTAGGAAGCAAAGTCCCCAGGCAGTCCCAGATCTGCTTTCACTGCTAATGAGTTCAGGAGACAAAGGTTGTGTGTTCCTAGTTTACAAGCAAACCATTGCTGAGCAGTGCAAAGCAGGGGGAGGATCTGGGATGTCACCCTGCATTAATAGGTAAATAAGAGGTTAGGGCTGGCTGCAGCTCATCTCCCCACTCACTGTACTGTATCTCCAGCTCTCTTGGAGGCTGGGCTGTTATTGTCTGGGGCCACAGGGCGCAGGCGCCTGTACAGTCCCTCCCTCTGCAGCTTCTACTACAAGAGGCTGGGACAGAGCCTGGTGGTCACCCAAATCCTCATCTTCAAGCACAGTCCTCACATCTTCTAGTGCACCAGGTCACCTTCCATTGACAAGACATGGCGACCCCACTCACAGACAGCGACAAGAGGAAGCAGATCAGTGTGAGGGGCATTGCAGGGCTGGGAGATGTGTCTGAGGTCAGGAAGAGCTTTAACAGGCATCTCCACTTCACCCTGGTCAAGGATAGGAACGTGTCCACCCCAAGAGACTACTACTTCGCCCTGGCACACACTGTCAGGGACCACCTGGTGGGGAGATGGATCAGAACCCAGCAATATTACTACGAGAAGGACCCCAAGGTAAATGCAATCTTGCAGTAGTCAGTGGGTATAAACACCATCATCCATCTTGCCATGTAGCATCTCATTAAAAAAGGATGCAAGAAAATGCAATAACAGAGGAGGAGGTGGAGGAGGAGAGGCTGTGTTTTCACTCCTTTTCTACAAAATTTAACAACCTCCCTCACCCCCCCCCTTCCCCCCATTGGCAACAGAATATAAAATGTATCCCACATCCAGGCTTGACTAAAAACATCCTGGTGCAGGCATTGTACTGCAATAATAATAATATTGATAAATCATATTAATGGAGATAAAATATAATAAAGACAGAATAATTTATTTCAGACGATGGGCACTCTGTACTGTTGGTTAGACATGTTAAAATGATACATTGTTGGTAGTTTTGCGGGGTATGCTGTTGCTATGTTGTGTTTACTGCAGTGGTAACTAACTGTATTGTATAATTCTAAGGTAACTGTGCAAGAGAGCACTTCATTTCTTTTTGCATGGATTGTTTGCTGAGCCATTTCTATTTGCAGAGTGTATGATCTATGACTTCATCTGGCAGTACAGGCTCCAGGATACAGCAATGGGGCATGTGACCATACAGCAATTAAATGTATCCATATATACCTACCTAGAATAATATGTCTCTTTTTGAGCATACTGTATTAATGCATTTATAGGTTAACCCTGCTCACAACCCCCTGGTGTATTAGTATATGTATTTAGATATGTATTTGTGTGTGTGTGTATGTATATATATGTATATATGTATGTAGAGGATTAAACAGTGCTGTGAGGCCTGTTAGTGTGGCTGAAGGTAGCTCAGCAACAAATCCCTATGTCATTTCTTCTATATGCCCTTGAAGAAGTCATTCTCGCATCTTGTGGGTCTGTCCCTGCAGTAAGACTGGTAGTGCAGCAATGCACATACTGTGACATCATGTTTACTTCTGAATAGGGAGATTCATTTACAGCTATTCAATATTATTTCAATAGGTGCAATTTGAACCTCTTCTTTAAAAAAGAACGTGCCCAGCCTTTTTTTATTATATATATATCTTTTTTTTTATAGAATTTAAGGTTTTTATTAATTTTAGTCTAGCCTTATAAAACAGGATTAGTTGATGTCACCTTTATTTAAAGGAACATTATTCAATGATACAAAACTAAGGACTGCAACATGATAGTAAATTAGTATCACACTGACCTAGGCCTTTCCCCTCCTTATTTTATTGGGCCTGAATGAAGCAATATGGACTCTAAGCTTGTACATAATCTGTATATATGACACTTCCGCCTAGATTCCAGTAAGAGTTCCATCGATTGATCTATGATTGGTACTCCAATTCTGACCTCCTTTAGAAAAGTCTCAATAAAACATTCATACAGTACATTTTTCGACTATCTATGAGTCACCTTGCATTTGAGTATTGCTTCAGTGGCTGGGAATGATTAGAGTGGCCTCCCTCAGTGCCCCACGTTGTCTTCTCAAATATGCCACATTTAGGATTTTAGAAGAAAACTGTTGCTTGTGTTCCTATATATCTATGTAGATAGGATCAAGACAGTTATCTTTCTGTAGTTCAAAAACTGTAAAGACTAAATTGTAGCGAACTGTAATCCCAATAAGTAAAATAAACATATTTGGCGCCCATGGACTGATAATGCCACACACACTACAATGACTTGTAGTTGCTGTGATGCTTAGATTTCCCCTTTAATTTTAGACAAAAACAGCTTAGTTTGTAAATGTATTCTTCCTCAGCAATTATTGCAATTCTTGTATACCTTATATAGTAAGGATTATTCATTGGGATTTGGCAGGGAATTGAACATTTAACACCCAATTGGAGAATTTCTCCAACTCCATTACATTTCAGCTCATCAAATTAGCCATTCTCTGGTCCTTTACTGGTTTAATGAATATCCCTTTTAATCGTTCTGTTACGGTGGTGATGGAAATTCTTGTATTTACAACCAAATTGGCAATACAGGGGAGCAATTAGCTAAGTAAATTAATGTTGCCATCCCAATCTGCTCCAAGTGACAATGAGAATAAGCCATGATGACATTGTCATGGACATCCTCCCTCAGCTCAATGCAATGTCTATATTTGGTATGATGAGTCAGCTGTGTGAATTGTATTTGTACCCACAGTGTAAAAAATTTATGCTTTCTGTTCATTTGAATCTTATCTTCTAAAAACGCATTTGTGTGTAGTAAATTTACCTAGTTCTCTTACATTTAATCCTATTTTTCTTTAATAAGTAGTTTATTATTACACTTAAATTTTTCTCTTTTAGTACTATTTGATCCAGAGTATGCTTTTTTTAAAGCAGACATTTGAAATAGGTTGAGTTTGCATATCTCAGTTTGCAAATAATACAGATAAGCACACACCTACAGTTTCAAAAATGCAAATTACATTAAAAAGATAAGCTAAGCCTGTCAATTGAGAAATTTAGACTGCCTTTTTAAAAAAACCTATTTAGTCAAATCCCCAACATTGATAAAATCATTTAATTTGTGGGGTTTTATGGGAGGTACATACACCACCTCAGGAGGTCTTATGCATCTTGCATGTTTATACAAAACAAAAAATTTAAAGCACACATGTTACTTGTTTTGAAATGGCACTGCTACAATGACAAGGATAAATGTTGATTGCTCCTTTAAATGGACACTCACAACAGTTGTAATGTTAACACAATGCTTGGTGACATCACATGGGATAGGAGGGGAGTTATATGGTTTGTTCATGGCTCCCTCTGTAATGATATTCTAAGCATTCTGAGTCTATGAAAAATTAAAATAACAGAAAATAATGTAATTTATTTAAAATACTCTTCAGATAGGAATAATACCAGTTTAACATACTGAAAATGAACTGTACAATAGCTGGGTGACGTAATGTACAGGCAGATTGCTAGTCCATCCCACTATGCAGTTCTGGACTACTGTGTGACTGTGACATTCATAAGAATCTTAAATCTAATTAGGAACTGGCCATGCAAGGTAAAACCTATTACACTGCAATTATTTAACAAATAACATAATTGTTCTAAGATGTCCTAAAGGTGTATTCAGAAACCTGTAAGCTTTGGCAAGTTTTTTTTTACATACTTTCAACTTCTGCTAATTATATTTTAAAGGGACACTATAGTCACCTGAACAACTTTAGCTTAATGAAGCAGTTTTGGTGTATAGAACATGCCCCTGCAGCCTCACTGTTCAATCCTCTGCCATTTAGGAGTTAAATCCCTTTGTTTATGAACCCTAGTCACACCTCCCTGCATGTGACTTGCACAGCCTTCCATAAACACTTCCTGTAAAGAGAGCCCTAGTTAGGCTTTCTTTATTACAAGTTCTGTTTAATTAAGATTTTCTTATCCCCTGCTATGGTTATAGCTTGCTAGACCCTGCAAGAGCCTCCTGTATGTGATTAAAGTCCAATTTAGAGATTGAGATACAATTATTTAAGGTAAATTACATCTGTTTGAAAGTGAAACCATTTGGTTTTTTTTCATGCAGGCTCTGTCAATCATAGCCAGGGGAGGTGTGGCTAGGGCTGCATAAACAGAAACAAAGTGATTTAACTCCTAAATGACAGGGAATTGAGCAGTGAAATTGCAGGGGAATGATCTATACACTAAAACTGCTTTATTTAGCTAAAGTAATTTAGGTGACTATAGTGTTCCTTTAATACTGCTTTTATTTAATGTACGGATCTGCTTTTACTTGTATTTTTGTTGTCTTATAGCGTGTTATGTTAATGTAATTAATAAAAAAAACTATATAAAATAATATTGTATAAGTAAAATATTATTCAGCTAACCCCGTATTGTGCTGTAGTATCCAAACTTACAAAGCGTAATAAAGGTAATTTTCTAATCATGTATTCAGAACAATAATTGTGCATTGTAGTATTTGTTCCTAAGTGTAACAGCAAAATAATTCAGAGGTTATTCAGCTAAGATAACCTGGATTCAGTGGTGCAGTGTAAAAAATCTGTGTCGTTTAGATTAGAATTATGGGTTAATAAAAACCAAAGAAGGGGGTGGGGCCTGACTGTCATGGAGGGAAGACGTGCCTAGCTGAAGCTCCCTCCTGAACTAAGCTACAGTAGCTAAAAAAGCATCTCAGACCCACAAGACATGGCACAAACTGACCCCAAGCGACACACTGACCCTCGGTCTACACGGTAAACCGGTAATGCGGCCCGTGAACAGAAGACAGACAGCAGGCTATACCCGCGAAGGCATGTGGCCGGGTGCGCACTGGATGGGAGCGGCGGCCGAGATCTCAACCTGGAGCGGCCCGGGAGCCGATTACAACGAACGGGCACCCTGCAACCTCCCCCCCCCCCCGGTGGGGGTGATCCCAGTCCACTACTGGGAGTCCTCCCAGCTATGGCACACACAAGGGAGGAACATATAAGAGGGCTGCAAGGCCCTTCCAAGATGGCGGAGACCACGCGACCCGCGAGCGGACATGAAGTACAACGAGCCCCCTTGTCAAGCTTGGAACAAATATTTGCAAACTTCTGGCTCAAGCTTGAGCACAGACTGAGACAGGGGACACCGCTACCACCCACCTCTAAACACCCACCATGCCACCTACCGCCCGACCCACAGCGACAAATGGCACCCTTGAGTAGGCCCAAATCAACGAGAAAGCGGCAGAGAGGCAAACAGGCATGTCACCTAAACAGGGCGGCAAAACGGCGAACACAAACAAAACACAGCACGGGCAAGCCACGGGCACCCCCTACTACAAGGGCAACTATACCACAGCCTACCGACTCACCCAAACGACATCCACCATGCCCTCAGCCTCACCGCTGGGAAATGCGACAGCAGGGGCACCCGTGGCAGGGACCAGCACAGCCCCAACGAGGCATAGGTTGAAGGCTTCAAAGCAAACTGCTTACCTGGGCTCACGACCGGGACACCGACCACAGCACACTACACCATGCCGTGAAACTGAGACAACTCATCTCTATGCCGGTCAGCCCAAAGAAGGACTCGAGCCTGGGGGACCCCAGGGGATCTTACGGGTCTGCTCTATATCATTTTGTTGCCCACCCACGCACATCCCCCAGCCTATATTGTCCACCTCACGCGTCAGATAAACCTTATAGTTATAACCCAGTCAAATGTAGACGCCTCTCAGTTATAGTGTATTAATGCAGACTCTAGCTCGCTAACTGAGGCTCAATTGCCAAAGGTACACATGAATACACTGTTAAATGTTAAATGTTATCTATTTAGATATAAGCAATACACACACTCGAGTCCCACCTACCATGGCCCCACTTAGGGGGCACTGAAACCATGACTGTCCGCATACCAATGCATCTGACCCACATGTTGTGAGAGATAGGCAGTCGTACGCAATCCGCTCCACCACACTAACATTACCAGCCAGTAGCTCCTACTATTTTGCCTAACTTGTTCTACAAGCCCAGTCTGAATGCCTGACCAGCTATTTGAAGCGCAGTCTAACCACTGAGACCACATCACTAGCTTGTATTAATTCTGTTTACTTTCACTATGATTACGCAAAACTTGTTATTAATATTTTGGAATGTTTAGTTAATGTAATATAAAAATTGTGCGAATTATCATGCCCCTGTAACTTTCGTGAAGCTTGAAATACGCTGTTGTGGCGTCTGTTGATACCCTGTAACCACCTGCACAACAAAAATAAAGAATTAAATAAAAACCAAAGAAAATAATTACTTCTGCACTATCCCAAATCCATATGCACATTTAACTAACTGGAGGCTTTTTAGTATCACTCTGATGACCATTTAAGTGTAAGCTCACCTCTCTGTCCACACTCTCCCCACTGTCACAGCTTTGCAAACAGTTCTGCTTAGGATAAACTAATGTGTCATATTTTTCACATTCTACCGTAAGCTACAAGTAGCGGGTGGATTTAGCACCATTTTAGTATGTTACAGCTATACAGCTATATTACATATTCAATAAATAATGCCCATTGATTGTTCCTCATTAGCAACAAATAACCAGGTTCTGCTGTTGCTACTGAAAACAGAAACTGTCAGAGACCTCTTGGGCCAATCCCATGACTTATTTATTCCACTGGAAGCACTCACAAACCCCTGTCTGTTCCCATGAAAATATGTCTGGATCTCAGATAAGGAGCTAATTAAAATGACAGGTTTAAATCTGGATGTTTTTTTTTATGCTACAGCTGATTTGTTTTAAAGCCTCTAACAGCTGTCATCGCATCCCCATCCTCCGCCAAAATGATTATTTAATAAAGTTAAAATATTTATGACATACTCACATTGATTGTGTTGGAATTTCACTGAAACTCCAACTCAGTAAAAAGATAATAGGGACTTTGTCTTATCTATTTTTCCTACGCCTGACAAAAGGCAGAGCTACCGCCTTCAAGTTTTTGTCATTTTTTTTCTACTCGTCACTTTAGAGGCTCCTGCAATCTCGGGGGTCCATAATAGTGTTGTACTTTTGAGCATGCGCAAGGGTGCAGCACTGACGTGGGCTCCTGGCAGGCGAAGTCCCTGGAGCTGAAGGGGATCCACGGGATAATGATGGCATCGGTTATGAGAGACAGGTTTAGGTAAGTAAAACTTACCTTCCCCTGCACTCCCAGGCCACTGCACTGCAAAAGGTTAAGTCACCATCTGGGGTCTTTGCAAACTATGCAGACAACAGAAGTTTACAGAGCTGCTTTAGGTTCTTGGGTGCTGTTCACTATTCGTAGTCTCCTTCTCTGATTATATGTTGTCCTTGTCCTGACACATCTGTGTGTTGTATACTACAGGCCAAATTAATCTGTGACCTTTTTGTCAAGGTTGACTTGACATGATTGTAAAATGAATAGTATGAGCGTATGTGTGTCCTGTCTATTTTTAATAAATGCTGCAAAGTCGCTGATCTTTGGAGGTATCTGTATGCTCCAATGTTTTAGAAAATTATTTTATTTTTAAAAATAATTGGAGGAAATTAGAGCTATGGGAAACTCACAGCTTCTATGAATATCAAAATGGATAAATACAATGTAACTCGGCAGCGTGACTCTGGCTTTAGGTGGATGTCATTTTGGATTCATGCCATCTCATCTAGAGGGGAATTTTCAACAGAAAACATGTTCTGTCTTAAGAATGCAAATTGCTAAATGTTGAGAGACATTCTATTGATTTCTTTAGTGATTGATCTTAATTTGTTTAACAATAGCCCCTGTTTTTGCCTTAGTCGTATCTATGTGTTGGGCTGGGGTGCCTGTGTTACTTTCCCGTGCATTTTCCTCACTCTTCATATTTTTCTCCTGTGTCTCCAAAGGAATACAAGGTAATAAGTCACTCTTTTCTTCCTTTAGAACACAAGGGGAATCGTGTTCTGTTGCACAAAATTATGATTTTAAAGTGAAATTCAATTGTCTGCAAGAAACAAGTCAGAAAAAATATAAAAAATATATGGCCTCTCTGGGCTTCCGTACATTTGGCAATACACAGAAGGCAGGCTTGGCTATTTCGTCTGTGTTTATGCAGTCATATATCTGCATGTGCACCACACTAACTAACATATAACCTTTCCATGAATAAGCATAGATAAACACAGATTAAATAATAATAAAACACACAGAGTCAGATATGTGATAAAAAAGGCCGTGGCCTTTTATTTAGTTTATAACACATTACAAACCATAACTTATTCACTTTTAAAATATATAACTTGTAACCAAACAGCTCCGGTCTTTAAACCCCCAGAGAATTTAACAAATGAATTACCAGTTCCGCCCTATTAGCCAGAATTTAAACAAATATATAACCAAACTCAGCTAGTCCAGCCCCCCCGCCCCCCTTTAAAATAGGCAGGTGATCTCAACCCCAATAAAAGACCACGACATAAAATAAAAAAATTATAGGGGGTAGGGTGGGAAACAGGTCCAATAAAATTTTTCTTTAACTTTTGTGGCGCCAGCTGTTACCTCAGGGCAACCTATATATTGTATTTTCCCGCTTTACAGTGCCCTCACTGACAAGCGCTTCAATCAGAGCGCTGTCCACGTGGACCTCTGTGCTACATGACGCAAGGGTATCACACAGACCGGTGATGAGGCCCTCGCGACCCGCCAGCAGCGTGCCCGGCAAGTCCCTCCCACCACTAACACCGCAGCGCACATGTGTACATGGTCGATTGATCATGTACTGTCTGTCTGTTATTAAAATCAAAGTACTTTGTAATAATTTGACTGTTCACAAACATCTGGAATGCATCCTTACAGCAATCAAATCCCCTTAACTCATTCAATTCCTCATTCAGTGTTTTGTTTCTCCTTTAACTGGTCTAATTAAAGGACATAAATTAAAAATAGCAAGGGCCCTTTTTCACTGATGCAGCAAAGATTACAGCTTTGATGAAAATTGTGAGGATGAGATTGTAATCAGGCCACATCATTAATGACTCATCGACAGCTGTTAACACATCAATAAATATCAGATGGAGATTGTAATTCATCTATTTATTTTCAAACTATTTTTATTATTTTGTATGAAATTTCTGACATCACTGCATACCCCTGCAATAAGAACAGGGTCACTTGGCAGCAGTCATTTGTGATGCTGTTAGAATTTACTACTCATTTCTCTTATGACCTTGGAGCATCACGTGTGACCTTCCTGTTTTCTGCAGAGAGTAATCAATCTGACCTAATATGTTGGCCTCAATGACCTGTGCAGTAGTGTGCTCTGTCATATGGAAAGCAAAATGTATCAAATAATATACTTAAAAAACAACTTTTTTTAAAATCATAGGTTAAAAGTGTATGTTTCTACAGTTTGTGAATATAGGTTACAGAAATTCTGTATTTCTTATAGTGTCTTCATATTCCAAAGTATATTCTATGAAAATTATTACAGTTGGGGACATTACAGTTTTTTTTGTTTTTGTTTTTAAAACATAATGCTGTATACATTATATTACTGTGTTATAGGCCCTTTTCAGACTTAATAAAGATGTATCAAGTTTTTTTTTTTTTTTTTTATACAAACCCCCATCCCAGTTCAGATGGCTAATTTTCAAAATCATTTATTTTGGTATACATTTAGCAATTTGATGTTTTTCATAAATAGATACCCATAAATAGCTTTGGGGACATGCATGTGTAACATTCAGATGATCTACAGATTGCGAAGTAAATCACACTTAACCCACAGGATTTAGTTTAGAGATATAATCACATTTGTGGTATCAACACAGTATAATGTACTAAACTGTTTTATCAAAAATCTAGTTGTATATGGTGTTGAGTTATTGTGGACTTCTCCTGTGATCTGTGAATCATTTTTCCCACAAAAAGGGTGGGGAGGATTTATCACGGCCGTTAAAGTGGGCTATTCACCAGTGGAATGTGATTGTGGATCCATTGCTTTCTTCTATTCTGCCCAATCCACCTCTGCCAACATCAATTTGAGAGAATGATATTGGGGATGCAAGGTGTGGGGAGCCTTGCCACCAGCATTCTGTGTGTGCTAATAATAGAAGCCAAACATGCACAGAACTTATATTGGCTGGTCCAGAACTCTTGTATCGGGCTGGCTTATGACACAGCCGGAGGTGGAGTTACGCTGCATATACAGACTCCAGGCACCATGACCATTTTAAATCAGTGAAGTGGTGATGGAGCTTGGAGTAACCTTTTTAAGTGGAGAGGAATTTGTTTTGATTGTCAAATCTGGCAACTATGTTTCAAGATGGACCCATTTATTGTTTTGTAATAGTATGTTTTTTATTGTTTTTGCCCTGTCCTGATAAAATTGTGTATTTCTTCTTTGTAATACAATTGCAAACGTAATTTATCGGTAAATAACAGACCATTCTACATTTTTTTTTATTGGTTTCCCTAAATTTACAACAGCTTAGTTTTAAAATTACACATCTGGCAATCAGAAAGTAGTGTTGAGAGAGTTTGGTTTTAAGTTTCACATAAATGTTCTCTAAAAATAGAATCCAGCCTTAACAATAAGGCCTGACGTGTGCTGAAGTCAAAAAAGGAAATTATGCTGTTTGTATGAGAACTCTGTTTCAGTAAGATGTGTCTCTAAACATTATGAGATGCGTGTGCTGTAACTGGTATGCATTTTCTCAGAGATTTGTTTAATTCAAGGCATTAAACGGGCACGCCACTGCCCAAATATACAAAAATAAAAAATCACTGTTTAGTAGATATATCTCCAATGAAAACATGCATGTATTTTATTCGACATTTGTTTTCATTGTGGTAGATCTAAACACTGTTTGCAAAAGTCCTCTTGTCTGCTGCCTCTAACCCCACCCAGGCTGTCTGTGGCTCTCCAATTACAGACTTTCCAAAGCAGCTCTATGAAAATTACCTGCCTCTTGAGTTTAGCTCCACTGAACTAATCCATCCAGGAAGTCATGGGACCAGTTGTCTGATTGACAGTCAGGGGGTGTAACCAGGTTAAAATACAAAAGTGCTAATTGTTATTGAAATCTGCACTTTTTATAAAATGGTGAAAACAGGAGACACACTATTAACACATAAAGTTAAACACATAGTTAAAGTGCCTTAGTGGCCTGGAGTGTCCCTTCAGCATCTCTGTTATTTAATCTCTGATGGAGTAGGTGAAAATATGTAGATTTTGTTGTGATGTCTGTGCTTGTCAACTCTTTATATTTTATCAGAGCATTGCAAATATGCAGGTCAGTCTGATAATATTCAGATGTAATTAAAATGTGTATTTCATAGAAATCATCAGTCTTATATGGACTATGCATATGCTGAGCAGGGATTTATGGGGTTTGCTAAACACTGCCATTAGAATAATCGAATGGCTAGGTTTGGTTTACATATGGCAGTTGGACTTTGCCAACATCTTTCTTGCTATGTTTTTAATCCATGCACAAATCTAGGTTTATTTTTGAAGTTGCAACATTGTTGGAGTAATTTTCAGAGAATGTTAGCCTTTTTTTTTTTTTTTAACTAAATCAATTGTATAAAATAATTCAATTAATAAAGTATATTAGACATGGTTCCAACAACTCCTCATCATACCTTAGCCGTGGGCCTATATAACAGTTTGTAGATGAGTTACTTGTCATCTGCACCATGTTTGAGGCTCCCAGTGTAAATCAACAAAGCACATGGGCGGGCTTTAAAGTTCTGTTGCTTATATTTGTTGTCAATGATTCTCACTGCATGATAAATTTGATGGGAATAGTCCCCAGTGGCAGGAGTTGCTATGAAAATTACACTTATTACCAGGAAGAAATATTGCCCAGGAGAAAATACAAGGTCTCATCTCATATTGTTTGTTTGTTCCCAGGTTCCAGACAATTTATCCAGCTGTTGTCATAGCCAAAAATTTGCTTCCTCTTTTCCCATAGGCCTGGCCACTAAGACTCATATTCCAACTAGTATTTATTTGTGTTCTCTCTTTCCGTTTTATAATGCAGAGTCTTCATACTATATATATATATATATATATATATATATATACATATATATATATATATATATATATTTTAAACCATTGTGAGCCTAATTATAGCCTTAAACAAAAATGATTTGGCTCAGAATCTTTGCAATGTAATTTTAAAACATCATTTTAATTGCAATAACAGTTAGTTTTGCATTGCGTGGTCCCAGAGGAGCAGAGTCAAACATCTAAACTGACCTTCGATCTAAGATGCTCAAAAATGTATCTGCACAATTTATATCATAGAACAAAATTGATATCATTATTATTCATTAATATGTTTTTTGTTCTTTTTGTACAGCGTATTTATTACCTATCTTTGGAATTCTACATGGGTCGAACTCTTCAAAACACAATGCTGAATCTGGGCCTTCAACATGCCTGTGACGAAGCTGTCTATCAGGTAGGATTTGTACCCAATTATCAGAAGCCAGCCTCTTCGTTAAACCGAATATTCTTGAGCTTCATCATTGAAGCCATCCAGTAATGTGGGTACTATATGGTACCTGCTGCAAAATGATTAAATTTAGGAATATTGGCTCATATCATACAGCTTTCCAAGGAACTGCCAAAGGTACATTACGGGTTTATTCACTAAACATTTAACTGTTCCACATTGAAATCCTTATGGAAAATATCAGTCTAAAATAGCCAAACTGTGACTAGAGCCGAATTGAGGATTTTGTTTTTGGCTGTTTAAAACTAATTTTTGTCATACTGTAGCCCAGTAAAGAAACCCTGTAAAATGATACTACATGCAAATAAAAGTAAAGTTTGTCATTTAAAGGGTCATTTATGTATTTATAGAAATGCCTTTTATATCAAATAACATACCAAAGGTGCTCAAATATGTATGTGAAAAGTTATGGAAATTGACTGTTCTCTCTTCTATGGATACAATTAAGGCTTTTGGTGACACAACTTTGTATACAAATGTTCAACTTATGATCACAATGACCCAATGCCTAGTTTCTTTTTTTTTTTTTATACTGCGCTCATGTCATTTTATTTGTTGACATAATGAAAAATCTCAGTGTTTGCCCATGTGATATTTTAAAAAGTAAATTTAACAATAGAATCTTCAATATTAATGTAATACCTAAGTAGCCTTAGTAGTAACCCTTTGCAAACCTTACTGATGTGATATCTGCAGTTTGTTATTTTATTATTTGCATTGTTTTTAATTTCTGGAAGGAAATCGCTTCCTCCTGCCAAGTCTCTTGTTATTTAGCTCGGACTAGACTTTTCAGGCATAGCTGCCAAAAGCAGGTTGTATTAAAATATAATTCCTCCACACCCCCTCTTATTCTCAAATCTAACTGTAACTGTGTAACCCTTACAGAAAAGAAAAGGCCAGTGGAAACGTTAAATCTAACGTAATATATGTTTATGGAGCTACTCACTATACCTTTACCAGAAATTTGGGAGAATTGGCAAAGGCATTACACTTTGTAGGACATAATAGCCAAGGTAAAAAATAGTTCAGCTAAAGATTTATTTATTTTTTCAAGTTTAGCTCTTTTGGTCTAAAATGTGCAAGTTGCTTGTCAGTTCTCCACCATTTCTAGGTTTAGTGAATAAAGCAAATAATCCACAACTAAAAAATAAATAAATTATAAGCTGTAACTGTTAATGACACGCTTCGGAGTTTCCCTGTTTCAGAAATGTGTAGATTTGGTTTCTTAGAACAGTCACAATGTATTCCAATTTTGCTCCCTTCGGCTTACCCAGCTTCAGGAGACTAGGCCCTCTCTGTGGCCTAAGCCTCCCCACCTTTGGAAACCAGCTAAAGTCACTCCATTTATACCAGTAAAAAGGTCTGCTTCGCATTCAAATGCCGCATGGGCAACCTGATATAGAATTTTCTGTGGTTATTATGCAACTTGTATTAAATGTTCCTATATTGTATATTGTTTTCTTTTATTCTCTTGCTTGAGCATTTACCCAACTGCACCCTACCTCCTCCCCCCAATGGCCTCTAGGGTATGATTAAAGAACAATTTTATTATTTGAGGAATATTTATATTTTCTGGTTTCACCTTACTTGGAGCCATATTGGTTTACTTGTATTTCTCTAGCATACTTGAGGTGCACATCTGGAGATTTCCTTGGGTACCCATTAATATATTAAAACGCTCAGTCCACTTCATATTATTATCATACAGTATTCTTCACATACCAGTGAGTTAATGTGTTATTGATGTACCTTGGTTGTAGGCACTGTATTATATTTCATGTATATAGACTGAATATAAATAAAGAATGAAAAAAGAAAACCAACTATTTTCCATTTATGCAACATTGTCCTATAACTAGGAAAAATCTTTCGTTGACCTTGTTTGTAGTCAGTCGGATTGTAAAAAGACACCTCTGGGGCATGCAAAAAACTGCACCTATACAATTTTTCCTAACCATCTGGCTATCGTAAAATGAAATTATTTACAGACTAAAATACTAGGTTAAATAGTCCTTTGGCAAAGTCTTTAACCATGATGTCTTGTGTGCACTTTGATTGGGAAAAGTCATATTTTATATTATTAAACAAATCTTTATATATATATTTTTTTATTAGACAACGAAAGTTACAATGCACCACAAAATGTATACACAATATCACATAGCAAGGGTGAACGTTAGATAAGAGATAATTAAATGTATAATACTTATCTGTTTAGAATCATAAAACATACAAAACCTGTAAAACTCACCTTTATTCCAGCGCTGCGTGGGTCTGCAGGCACTGGCACTGCCCTAATCCATCTCCTTGGCTGATATCAGAATTCGCAATCTCTGCCAATCTATTGCTTTCACGTGGAAAAGCATTAGATTAGCTGAGATTGTCAATTCTGGCGGTGATGGGCGGAGCCAAACGCCACTCTGGCCATTCAGTATCTCCTCTTAGAGATGCATTGAATCAAGGTATCTCTGTGAGGAATGTTCAGTGTTTCCATGCCAGGAAGCACCTCTAGTGGCCTTATGAGTGACGATCACTGGAGGTGTCTAGGCAGCAATGTAAACACTGTCTTTTCAGAGAATTTTTACAGCAAGGACCTGACTATACCTGCAGGGAATGAATATACTCACCAGAACTACTACATAAAGCTGTAGCTATTCTGGTAACTATAGTGTCCCTTGAAAACAGTTTTCTGAAGACATGTCTCCCGGAATAATATATTCTGGGGTGAATAATTGGTAATCCAACCAATCCCAATTTTCCAATTTTAATTGGAGAATGAGTTGAGCTTTCAAAAAAAAAAAAAAAAAGTCTTGCAAAGTATGAGCAGAATTGTCTGAATAGACGGCACAGATGTGATAGTGTCAAACAGGAAAAATAAAAAAAATACTCTTTGCTGTTGGTCATAAATCATGTGGCTATCATGGTCTACGGATGGTAGAGTTTGAAGGTCATTGTTCGACATAAACCTATATAGCCTGTTCATTTTCTTAAATGTGGGAAAATATATGTGGATATTGTTATTGTTGTTTGATGTGTAATACAAACATATGTTGCATGCATTATGCATTCTTTAATGGCGTTAAAGAAACCAGGAATGGATTATCTGATAATCCAATTGTCTAACTGGTGGAGGAGGTGTATTTTGCCTTCTTTTCGTAACCATGACATAAAACCAGGCAGGCTCCTCACAATTTAGAACAATGGTAATGCTTTTTCCTGCTAGGAGCTAGAAAATGTAATTATTCTAAATATTTAACAATTATATTTTTGTATAGTCTGAACAAATAAATTAAATGTAGACCTCTATCTATAGCTCTATCTTGGAACTGAAGCTTGTATTTTTGCTCGCTGTCAATCATTGTTATTAGCTCTGCCCTTTTACATGTAGTAATTTCTGTTTCTACAACTCCAATTCCGTATGTGCCCTGGCTGTGCCTAGACTTAGCGGGATTTGGATGCCATTTGCAATATATTGAAAAGGCATTTAACAGAAAATGGAACATCTCATAAAAAAAAGGTTAATGCAAGTAAAAAAAAAAAATTGTATTCACTGGTGAAAAATCCAAAAGTGTGATTGTTCTCGTTTAAAATACTAAAAAGCATCACTATTGAAATTAATGGGAATCTTAGTTCAGGAAATGCTTATTAAATAGTGAATTGGTAAAATCTTGTTAAACTTATAGAATGTTCAGTGGCATATGAGATAGGAAATGAATAGGACACTACACCAACTTTGTTGAAAGATAACTTCCCCATAGGAAAGTGTGATTTATTTGTACCATTGTGTTATTTTTGAGTTGTATTATTTATGAGCGTGATCCAACAAGCTATCATCACTTCCTGTAAGCTTATTGTCATTTTATCTTTGAAGAAACACGCTACTTTTTTAGTAAATTACAATATGTAAACCAGACAAACTCATCTAAAAACATGACATAAAGTGCAAGCTCAGACTTTTTTTCCTGTTTGTTTGTCAAATCTTTCCACCCTTGGAGCATTCCAGATCAGTTTGAGTACCAGGAAGCAATGTGGATTGGGAAGAATCACATTCTGAGACCAAGAAGACTATTTTCAGTCCCACACACTAGGGCCTTTATTCACAAAATAAAAAATGGCACATTTACAATGGAATTTGCAAATTTTAGTCAAAAACAACTTCTAGAAAAAGTTGAATTAGCATGTTACAGGGTTAATCACTAAAGTAAGAATTCAAAAAGAATTTCAAATGTAAGGTCAAATAGCCAAACTGGAAAGAATTCTCAGTTATGCTTCCAATTTGACTACATTGAATTAATCTTGGATTCTCACTTTAGTGATTTTTTTATAATTTGTAATCAATTTGCCAATGTTCCACAAATCTCTACTCCGTGAATTACCATTGTAAACACAGAGAAATGTAATGGAATCTGGGGATAATCAGGGAATTCCGAAAACTATGTTGAACAACAAGTACAGTAAGTGTGGTGTTTTTAAACAGAAATCATGAATGGACCAGTTGCTGTTTATCTGCAGTCACAATCTCTGTTTCTGTTTGTTGGGAAGTGTTACATACTTGAAATGTCAAGGAATGTTATCCTTCCACTCATTTGCAATAATATTTGCTTTAAACAACAGAGAGAAAGTTCTAAAAAGGGTATTTATTTGCATTAAGCCAAAAGCTTAAATATATATATATATGTTTTTATATAATGCAAAAACCTTTTGTGCTTGTGCTTATTTTTATCATCCATTACCTGTAAAACCTCAGAATTTAGGTGCATACAGTGAGCAGTCAGAATTTAGGCACACACCATTTTAAAGATTATAAAGACCATAAGATTATGTCAAAGCTTTTCCCAGTCCAATAGCATTGCACTTATAAATCAAAGTCTATAGGTACATCGATTTTTTTTTTTTCCACAGGAATGTAGCATGTTTGACAAACAAAGTAATAACGGATGATGACGGGAGGTATTTAATATGGATAGGATCCCTCAATACTATTGAATATATTATTGTGAACATGTATTTTCCAAACACCGGTCAGTTGCAGTTTTTTAGGAAATTGATGGACTTAGTGAATGAGAACGTGGGAGGCAGCTTGGTAATGTGTGGCGACACGAATTTTGTTATGGATGGAGATTTGGATAACGCTAGGGAAGAACGTGATCAACAGCATAGAGGGGACAGTGACAGATTAGCGTACAAATGCTCCAGATACATGATTGAATGTGGCTTATACGACTCCTGGAGACTGATGCATGAGAATGAAAGAGATTTTACGTATTATTCTGTCTCTAAAAATATGTATTCCAGACTGGACCGGTTTATGGTTTAATCTCGCACATCTTGAAATCTGATATCTTAGACATCAACTGGTCCGGCCATGCTCCAATCATAATGCATATTGATGAAATTGTTTCATCAGCCCCAAACAAAACCTGGAAATTAGGCGATTATTTGTTAAATGATGTTGTGAACAGGTCATTGACGGAGAAAGCTTTGAGTGATTATTTTTCGGAAAATGCCTGACCCGAGGTTCCTGGCGAGGTGACTTGGAATGCGCATAAGGCTGCGTTAAGAGGTCATTTTATTTCTAGAGCGTCTCACCTGAAGAGAATTAATAGCAATAACTTAAGAACATTGGAAAAAGAATTGTACAATTTGAACCAGGCTAATAAATTTGGTCCATCGTCCTCCCTATCAGCAATGGTAGGAGAAATTAAGGCTAAAATTAACAAAATGAATTTAGATCGTACATCTCTCATGGTGAGACGTCTCAGGAAAACATTTTACTTAAAAGGCAACAGGGTCTCAACTCTTTTGGCATCCAAACTCCGGCATGTGAATGCCCAATCAAAAATAGCATATTTACTTGATTATCAGGGGTGAAAAGTGTTTCATCCAACTAAAATTAGTGATATGTTTGCAGAGTATTATAGTAAAATTTATAATTTAGAATGTAATTCGGACCTTCCCCAGCCTTCTGCAACAATAATTGATAAATTCTTAGACAGAGTGACATTGCCTCGGCTGTCTCCAGGACATTTAGAAAGCTTAGAATGTGAAATATCAGCAGAAGAGATAGCTGAGGCAATCAAACTTATGCCATCTGGAAAAGCCCCTGGTCCCGATGGATTCAATATTTTATATTATAAAACTTTTCCAGAAATTTTAATTCCCCATATGACTAAAATGTTCAATTCCTATAAGTCCGGGGGAAAGATGCCGGAGGAGTCCTTGTGCGCACGAATAGTCACCTTGCCAAAACCAGGAAAAACTCCTGATAGATGCCCTAACTTTAGTCCCATTTCTCTGATTAATAATGATTCAAAGATTTATTTTAAAGTTCTCGCAAATAGATTAACCAAATTAATCCCATTGCTAATTAATAAGGATCAAGTGGGTTTTGTACAGGATAGACAGGAGCCAGACGGAACTAGAAGATTCATAAACTTGATTCAGTACATCAATATGACCAAAACGCCTTCTTTGCTTCTATCTCTAGACGCAGAGAAGGCATTTGACAGGATACATTGGGGATATTTATGGAGAACGTTAGACAGGTTCAACATACCATCATCCTTTATCGCAGCAATTAAGGCGCTATATTGCGCACCCTCCGTCCATGTCTCAGCTTCTGGCTTCACATCCAAAACTTTATCTCTAACCAATGGGACGAGACGGGGTGCCCTTTATCTCCAATTTTATTTGTTTTAGCGATAGAACCCCTGGCCGAACTAATTAGAACGACCCCACAAATTGTAGGAATTGCTATTAAAGAATCCGTTCACAAAATTGGCTTGTTTGCAGACGATATAATCCTAGCTGTCAAAAACCCAAAAGAATCTTTAAGACTCCTCAAGGACATCTTAACTCAATTTGGCGAGATATCGTACTACAAATTAAACGAGTCTAAGACTCAGGCCCTTCCGTTTCATTGAAATAATTTGGAAACCACTGCCCTTAAGAAATCATATTTATTTGATTGGAGAACTGGCTATATGGAATATCTTGGCATTAATTTATGCAAAAATTTGGTCAATATGCACAATCACAACTTGAGGAAAGCATGGTCGGACTTACAAAAAGAGATGGAGAGATGGGGCGGGATGGAGCTCTCATGGCTGGGGAGGGTCGCATCTATTAAAATGACGATACTTCCAAAAGTTTTATATTTTTTTAGGACCATCCCTCTGTCCATCCCATTATCATTTTTTAATAAAGTTCACTCGACAATGCTGAAGTTCATCTGGGGGAACAAGCCTGCCCGAGTAAAGCTCACTTCCCTGCAGCACCATAAATCGAATGGCGGTATTGGTGTACCCGATATCCGCAAATATTATTTCGCCACTAACGCTGCAGTGGCTGTGAGCTTTAATGACCAGGATGATAAACCAGATGGATGGAAATAGAAGAATCAAAAATTTTACCGGTTAGATTGTCAGAATTACCTTGGTTAAATCCTAAGAAAAGACCTGGAATTACAAAATTATTTTTATCTACCAAGACTACGCTTAAGGCCTGGGACATTATTTTTGAAAAATGACCATTCTCCCAGTTTATATAGAGAAATGCCTATTGAGTTATTTAAATAATATATACCATCCTTAAAAATAGAACTGTTGAAGGATTGCTCTATAACTAAACTGGATAATTTTTTTATGTAAATTTTCTTTGGAAAAATTGAAGCTTAAGTATGGATTAACAAATGTATGTGAACTGGAATGTATGCTAATCATTGACAAATGGAAAGAACTATACCAGGTACCTGAAACAGATAAAAAATATAAATCACGTGAGATATCTCCATAAGAGAAAGTTTTTTTATACAGCCCCGCTAGTAAAGGTATGATATCCTTATGTTATTCGTTTTATAATGCCAAGCCCTTAGTTAAATTAAAACATATGTTGTCATGGGAGACGGAGTTGGGTGCCCAGTACGATTTAGAAGAATGGTTCGTTTTTTTTTTAAAGCTTTAAAAGGTATTTCGTATTGCACCGACCATTTTGAAAATCATAATAAAATTTTATATCGCTGGTACCTGGCTCTGTCTAGATTGCACAACATGAACAATATGTATTCTGACCGGTGTTGGAGAGACTGTGGGGGTGTGGGCAATATGGCCCATATCTGGTGGTTCTGCCCTAAATTAACTAAATATTGGAAAATGATTCATGATCTAATTATTAAAGTGGACAGAACCATTAGCATTTTAACTTCGGAACTAGCCTTATTTAAAAAACTCCCGGAGTCTGTTAATAGATCAGATAAAATAATCATAGGCCACATTCTGATCGCTGCTACATCCTGTTTACCTAGACATTGGAAGTCCAAAAATGCAAAAAGAGCAAAAGTGAATAATAAAAAGGAATTTACAGGTGTTATATTAATCGTGGTTATGTAAATGTTAAGCCACCAATAGAAAAGGGAACAGTGCTTTTATTGCGATCTAATAAAATATATCCGTCCTTTGAGTATCAGTGGGTTAACAACAGTTCATCCAAAGTAATAAATATAACATGTGTCATCAAACAAGGGCATCCTTCTCTGAACTGCAGTCCTTTTCCCCTTAAATGTTCCCCAGAAGTATTTATTTTGGACACTGTTTAAATGGCTGCTGCATGTCTTAAATGGCAGAATGAAGAGCTTTATATTTAGCACAGTTCAGTTAAGATTCTTTTAAATACTGCATAAAATTTGTGTAGTAACCCATGACTGCCACCGAAATTGCAACTAATCCCATAATAAAAGGGTTAAAGAAACACACATCCAACACAAAGCAGTGTAGTTTATTAACACCTTAACTAAGTCCTGTCTATACACTGGTAAAATGACAAAATCCAAGTGGACACATGGTTTTATTGTTTTTTTATGTCTATAATAAAAATATCAGGTCTGCCCTTTGAGCAGGGTACCAGCCTCAGATCCTGCATTTTTGCACAAGGGCTAGCTGACCATTTGGGAAAAGATGAGGATGAAATAGAAGAAAGAACATAGAGGGCCACTAAAGGACACATATGAGAAAGAAGATAAAGAGGGGGCAGACAGAATCACGAATAGGGCAGAAATGGCAACAGAGGGGAACTGTGTCTGTGTGTACTAGTGTGTGTATGTGTCTTATGTGCAAAAATATGTGTCTTAAAGGACCACTATAGTGCCTGGAAAACAAACTCGTTTTCCTGGCACTATAGGATCTTTAGGTCCCCCCACCCTCAGGGTCCCCCTCCTGTTGGGCTGAAGGGGTTAAAACCCCTTCAGCCACTTACCTTAATCCAGCACCGGGCTCCCTCGGCGCTGGTGACCTCTCCTCCTCCTGCCGACTTCAGCGCCGAATGCGCATGTGCGGCAAGACCCGTGTGTGCATTCAAACCGCCCATAGGAAAGCATTTCTCAATGCTTTCCTATGGACGTCAGCGTCTTCTCACTGAGATTTTCACAGTGAGAAGCATGGAAGCTGCTCTAGCAGCTGTCAGTGAGACAGCCACTAGAGGCTGGATTAACCCTCAGTGAAACATAGCACATAGCAGTTTCTCTGCACTAGAGGGACCTGGCACCCAGACCACTTCATTGAGCTGAAGTGGTCTGGCTGTCTATAGTGGTCCTTTAATGTGTTAGTATGATGTGTAAATGTGTTTATGTGTATTTCAGGATTATTTACGTAAGTGAGAATTCAAAGTTAATTTCAAATTTAAGGCCAAAGTAACTGAATGAAAGGCATAGCTTGCTTAGAATTTTTCTTTCCAGTTTGGCTATTTTGACCTTAATTTTGACTTTGAATTGACCTTTAATTTTCACTTTTATAAGTAACCCTATGTACATGTATTTAATATGTTTCTATGTCCATGAATATGTGTCTGTATGTGTGTTATTGCAGGGCTTGACAAATTTGTTTGGAATCTAGGAGCCAGCTAAACAAGTTAAGAGCCAATCATTTTCAACGAGAAAATGCAATTATTAAAGGGACACTATAGTCACCAGAACCACTACAACTTGATGTAGTGGTTCTGGTGTCTATAGCCTGTGCTAAGGGAAAGCATTGGCTTAGCTGAGATCATAAAGATTGATAATCTCAGCCATGGGGAAACTGGCACTGTGTGAGAAAATGGGGAATAAAGGTGAGTAAAAACGATCGGAGGGGGCAGGTACCTAAATGCGCACACACACTGACAGGCTCACATACAGACTCACGCTGACAACAGGCTTGCACGCACAAACTCTTGACAGACACACACACTCTTGACAGACTCACTCGCACACACACAGTCTCTTGAAGGCTCTCACACACTCTTACGCTGACAACAGGCTTGCTTGCACACACTCTGACAGACTTACACACACACACATACAAACACTCTGACAGGCTCACACACACACACACTCTGACAGGCTTACACACACATACACACACACACACACACACTCTGACAGGCTCTCTCTCACACACACACACATACACACTCTGACAGGCTCTCTCTCACACACACACAGATTTTTGTTTTAATTGAAACCCACTCAGCCTCTCTACCTCGGGGAGAGCTGAGTGGGTCTTTCCCTGGGGTCCAGTGGGTCTGCACTCTTCCTGTGTGCGAAGGAGCAGTACTCTGCCTGTAGCTCCTCTCTGCTCCCTCGCAATCTGTAATGATGCCGGGGCCGAAATGATGTCATATTCCTGCTCCCTGCATCATTACACAGTGCGAGGGAGCAGAAAGCAGCTCCAGAGTATGCTCCCTCGCGCACCACCCACAATGCTCCCACTTCCTCCATGCTCCTCAGGGTGGCCGCCTACCTCCATGCTCCCGCAGGCGGCCGCCTACCTCCATGCTCCTGCCGCCTACAATATTCCCTATGACAGCCGCAGTCAAATTTCCCTTGGCAGCCACACTAATTAGAGAGCTGGCACATCCCAGATGCCAGGGCGAACATTTTAGTCGCAGTGGCAACCTGGCGCCTGGGATTTGTCGAGCCCTGTGTTATTGTGTGTATGTGATTTAGTATGTCTCTGTATTTGTGTTTAATATGTGGCTGTGTGTACTAGTATTTGTATGTACATTAGTTCATGTCTGCGGAAGTGTGTGCTTATGTATGTAGGTGTATTTATTTGATTGTGTTTGTGTGACGGAACGCCGTCACTGAGTACCATGAACACCCACTTGCCCAGTCACATCGGACCCCAAAGGACCTGGACTGTGGACTCAGGGGGGGTCAAACAGACCTGTTTCAGGCCCATCAGGGGTCTGGCCTCAAGTCTATCTATTTCTAAGGGGGTTGTTATGTGATGGATGGCCTGATTTGTTTGGCGCAAGCCATAAGCTTGTGGTGCCATTTTTGTGACGGGTTTCCCTGTATCTAGACATCGCTGTATTGTGTACCTGTATTATACATAGAGCAGTCTGTGCGTCTGTAAATGCAGCTGTGGGTCATCAAAGGGTGGGGGAACCGGTCTATAAACTATAAAGTATAGTTAGGTGTGAAATGTATTCTGTGTGTTAATCAAGTTAAATGCTGCACTGGGAGTGACCACCTGCTGTGGGACCCAGCAAGTCTATCTACTACAGCAAATGGCTAGGGCATAGGGCAGCACAAAACCAGGATACACCACTGTGTGTGTCTATGTATATGCATGCATGCATGCTAGTGTTTATATTTGTATGAATGTCAGTGTGTGTTACCAATAAGGTGATGTGTGGAGCAAGCTATGTGTGAGTGGCTAATTCTGTACGACAGGCTGAACATGTATATGTTTGTGGGGACGGGGGGGAGGGGGGAGGTGGGGATGGATAACATACTCTAATTAGAAATATGACTGGTAATTTGTGTTTCAAATACAAATGTCTGGACACACCTGTTGGTTACTTTAAAGAGTCCGTTTTTATCCAGGAGTACAGAAATAGACAATGTTTTGTCACCTATCTATGCCTTTGTCAAGTCTTTCAAGTCGGACTTAACAAAGGTACAGATAGGTATCGAAACGGTGTCTATTTTCGTTACTCCTGAATAGAACATTGCCTCTTTAAATAAACCAACAGGTGCATCCAGACATTTGTGTTTCAAACTACTGGATGTATTTGGGAGTTAGCCTTCCCAATTTGGAGGCACCCCGATGGGAGTATTCCCTGGATAATGGTGTGTGCATTTCCTCTTCATTTGAAAAATATGATCATTTTGTTTCAGCTCACTCCTGTATTGTTAACACCAAGGACCTAGCGTCCCTCTATGAAAAGCTACATGTCCAGGAAACTAATTGCTGGATTTCTGTGTTGGAAAAGAATAGCCAGGAAAATCCAAACCAAAAAAACTGTGTAAACTGTTCAGCTGTTTCCACAGTGACGTTTCAGGAAGCTAATCACTTACTGAGATGAAGATATCGGATGTTTGTGAGCAAGTTTCAGTTTGTTACTATGTTACAGTCTATTACTGTTATTACTAACTGTATAGACTGTGTTAAAATAAATACTATTATACTGCAAGTTTTCATAGTGTGTTCTGATGACCGTACATATAAATGGATATTATTATTTTTAAAGATATTTTATAGAGAATGGGTTAATGGGGAGAATGCAGCCAGAGCAGACAGCTTCTGGGATCTTTCAACCTGTTAAATCCATGTTTCTTTTATCCGTTTTCCTGTGAAGCTGCACGTTTTCATTTGCACATACACACTAGCCTGCAGGCAGAATAGTCCATAAATAAAATACTGATTGCTTAGGCTTTGCTTTTGAATGTTGCACTTGGCAACTGGATTCTATTGCCTGGGAAACAGGCTTAATCACAAGTTTGTATCTTTAGCTTGATGAAACACTTTTGATGTATAGAACATGCCCCTGCAGCCTCACTGCTCAATCCTCTGCCATTTAGGAGTTAAATCACGTTGTTTATGAACCCTAGTCACACCTCCCTGTATGTGACTTGCACAGCCTCCCTACACACTTCCTGAAAAGAGTCATAGTTTACACTTGCTTTATTGCAAATTCTGTTTAATGTATAATTTCTTATCCCCTGCTCCATTACTAACTTGCTAGACCCTTCAGAAGCCCCCTGTGTGTAATAAATGTTCAATTTAAAGAGCAGGAGATAAATAATAATAATTTTAAACTGACACAATGAAAAAAAAAAATAATGCAGGCTGTGCCAGTCACAGCCAGGGGAGTTGTGGCTAGGGCTGCATAAACAGAAACAAAAGTGATTTAACTTCTAAATGGCAGAGAACTGAGCAGTGAAACTTCAGAGGCACGATCTATATACCAAAACTGCTTAATTAAGCTGACGTTGTTTTGGTGACTATAGTGACTATAGTGTCCATTTAAAAAAATAAAAATAAATTGTATTTAATTGTATTTAGCATTGGCAATTTCAGTTTTCATTTCTACATTAGCTCCACCTCCCTCTTTCTCCCCACAATCCATCTTTTATACTTCTATAAAATTTCTTTTATAAGTTAGATGATTCTTGGCAAGACATGGGCTTCAATCAGTTTCTGCAACCACGTCTTGCCATTTCCCATTGACCATAACGGCTGGTGTTAACAGCCATCCCTGCGGGCAATAGAAATACAGCTTAAATTTTTTGTAAAACTTGCTGTTTGAAGAATGTTTGTTTGTCTGTTTTTACCTAAAGTTTTAATTCCCTGGTTGATTCCCCTACAATTTACTGTTGGGAGAATACTCTTCCTGGAATTGAGATTACTATCAGTGACCAAAATATACACAGGTGAGGATAAACAAATGTCAGCTGGGTCCCGAGGCTGCTGTAAACTTCAGATTTCAGTAAAGAATAATAGCAAACATAGTAAAAGTAAAATTTCCCTGACTTTTCCATATATTACTGAACTTTTGTTAACTGTTGAGCATGTGCCTACACTGAGGCATTTCTATCCATTTTCTAGAATGTATAAATGCTCTTAACATCTTATTTAATCTTGTAGGATAAAGCCTTGGGTTTTGAGTGTGTTTAATATGACTTGCAAAGTCAATCTGTAACTATGGATTTTTTCCTCTCGTCTTCCTCGCTTTAGCTTGGACTGGATATGGAAGAGCTAGAGGAGATAGAAGAGGATGCAGGCCTTGGTAACGGTGGATTGGGTCGTTTGGCAGGTATGTCATTTGCATGCAAACCTTAAGATTTCACACTCTATATACAGCAAGCTTGGAGAGTAAATGGCATAATCACCAGACTGTGAATTACTAATTGCTAGGATTGCATTTTCACTTGCCAATGGGCCAATTTCTAGTGGAGAACAATGTATAGATTTTTAAAAATTATTTCATATTTATTTATTTTTTACAAACATAAAAAAAAAAAAAAAACAGAGTAAGAAAATAAAAACACAACCATACATATATATCCTTTTAAAACATCCACTACTACATCCCCACTCATCCACACCCATACTCCCTCCTCCTGTAATGCAGTTTCTAACCATAAAATACAACATTCCACTAAGCACTACAAATACATTTAATTGTTTTTCCTTCCAGGTTTGTTTTTATATTCAGTCCAAGGAGACCATCTTTTATTAAGTTCTATACTTTTTCCTGTACTTGGATATATTATATGTTCCATTTCACATATTTCATCTACCTTATTATACCATTCATTGAGTAAGGGGATTTGTGCTTGTTTCCAATATTTTGGCATCAGAATCTTTATTGAATTTAACAATCATTGCATTAATGTAGGGTTCATTTCAATTTCGAGATCTTCAATTTTTCTTTATTATAGTTACAATTTTTGTCCCATAATGGGAATAAGAGTGGGCAAAACCACCATATATGTAGGTTGGTGCCCTATTCTATTATTATTATTATTATTATTGCCATTTATATAGCGCCAACAGATTCTGTAGCGCTTTACAATATTATGAGAGGGGGGATTTAACTATAAATAGGAAAATTACAAGAAAACTTACAGGAACGATAGGTTGAAGAGGACCCTGCTCAAACAAGCTTACAGTCTATAGGAGGTGGGGTGACACTTTGAATGAGTTAGCAGTTTGAGGATACAGGAAGCCAATCTAAGTACTGACAGAGGGATGAGGTGTGAGAGGACCAACTAGAGAGGAAAATCCGTCTGGTGGCAGCATTCATTACAGACTGTAGCGAAGCAATACGGCTTTTGGGAAGACCAATTAGGAGAGGGTTACAATAATCAATGCAGGAATTTACTAGAGCATGGACACGCTCCTTGGTAGCATCTTGTGTAAGAAAGGGGCGGATGCGGGCTATGTTTTTAAGATGGAATCTACAGGATTTGGCAACATACTGGATGTGAGACTCAAAAGTGAGGCTAGAATCAAGTATGACGCTACGTCTGCACGCGTGCAAGGATGGACTGATGTGGATACCACTAACTTAAAGGGAGAGCGAAAGAGAAGGATCAGTATTAGGAGGAGGAAGGACAAGGAGCTTAGTTTTAGAGAGATTGAGTTTCAGAAAGCTGGAGGACATCCAGTCAGAGATGGAAGAAAGGCAAGCAGTGACATGTTGCAGGACAGCAGGGGAGAGATCCGGGGAGGAGCGATATATCTGGGTGTCATCAGCGTACAGGTGGTAGTGGAATCCAAATGAGGTAATAAGTTTGTCAAGAGAGGCAGTATAAAGAGAAAATAGAAGGGGACCAAGGACAGAGCCTTGGGGGACTCCAGCCGAGACAGAACGAGGGGAGGAGGTTTCATTAGAAAATAAGACACTGAATGAGCATTGGGAGAGATAAGAGGAAAACCACGAGAGGACAGAGTCACAGAGACCGAGTGATTGAAGAGTTTGAAGAAGGAGAGCATTATCAACAGTGTCAAAGGCAGCAGAGAGGTCAAGAAGAATTAGTATGGAGTAGTGGCCTTTGGATTTAGCTGCGATTAGGTCGTTCATAACTTTGATAAGAGCAGTTTCAATAGAGTGGAGAGGGGGCGGAAGCCAGATTGAAGAGGGTCAAGGAGAGAGTTGGAATTGAGGAAGTTAGACACTTGGGTAAAGACAAGTCTTTCCAGAAGCTTTGAGGAAAAAGCGAGCAGGGATATAAGACGATAGTTCGAGGGGGAGGACAGGTCAAGAGATGTTTTTTTCAGGATAGGTACTACAGTGGCATGTTTAAGGTCAGCAAGGATAACACCAGAAGAGAGAGAGCAGTTGAATATGTGTGTTAAGGAAGGTACAAGACAGGGGGAGAGAGATCTGATAAAGTGAGATGGGACATGATCGAGTTGGCAAGTAGAGGTGAGAAAATCTGAAAGGTAGGTAGGAAAGGCATGATTAACGTGTGGTTGAGAAAGAGAACTCTAAAGAGAATTATTTCTTTAGCTGTTCAATCTTGCCAGTAAAGCAGCAGGCAAAGTTAAGGTTAGTAAGGGGGTGGCCACAGCAAGGCAAAGAAGAGAGTTAAAGGTGTCAAACACCCTGGGATTGCGTAAGCACGAACTAATGAGAGGAAAAGTATGAATGTTTGGCGAGGTCAAGGCCTGCGCTGTATGAACACAATAGGAATCTATAATGGAGATAGTCTGTCTGGGTGCGAGACTTCCTCCAGGAGCGTTCAGCACAACGGGAGCAACTCCACAGATAGCGTGTTGATTTATTATGCCATGGTTGGGGGCGTGTCCTCCTCGAGGTGTATGTTTGGAGCGGGGCTGCAGCGTTCAAGGCAGAGGTGAGGGTAGTGTTATATGTGGAGATGGCCAGTGAGGGACAGGAGAGAGAAGTGATAGATAGCAGTTGTCAACAAATATCAGCTGACAGCTGCTGGAGGTCAATAGAATTAAGATTCCTCCTGAGTGGAGGGGGGTTAGGCTGAGGTTGTTTGAGTGTGGGGGTACTTAAGAGCAAACAATAAGAGTTGGTGATCAGAGGAAATGGAGTGTTGCAGATATTAGATACTGTACATGCATAAGAGAAAATGAGGTTGAGGATATTGCCAGCTACATGGGTGGGAGAAATAGCCCACTGTGATAACCCGAGGGAGGAAGTCATTGAAAGTAGTTTAGAGGCTGCTGAGGTCAAACATGTATCTGACGTACCTTGTTGGATTTTATGTAACTGGGTCTCTATACCACTCCGATAAGATCTTAAAGGAATTCTCCTGAATTTTTATTGACAAAGAGTGATATTTATTGACTTATAAAACCATCTTGTTGCATTGTTTATTGTTAACATTTGTAGTACAGTCTGATTCCCATTTCTTAATAAAGGTTTTATCCATTTCCTTTTCTAAGATAATTTTAAAGGATTTTTTAGTTACCAAATTAATGGGAGCATTCTTTCAACCTGTGACAAGTTTATTGCTTTTAAAGATATACTAATCCCTACCTGTTGGATGGAGAAAGCCATGTTGTTATGAAAAGTTGAAAATTCTGGATTTCCTTTTCAGGAGTAACGTATTTAAAAGTTGCAGCTATAAAAAAAAAAGTTGGACATTAGTGTAGATCTTTTGTATATTCACTGAAGGAGAAAGAGCTCTTGGACACGCATTTTTTTTATATATATGTTTGAATATTCAAATCAATTGAGGGCTATATATGGCTCACAATATGTAATGCTTGCCAAGTTTATTTACTTATAATTGTGATAGCTAGGAATTAAGGCTATACTAACTCTATGATGATTGCTCTATCTTTAGCACTTTGCCCCAGAATATCAGCTGCTTTTGTTGTGATATATCTCGAATATAAAGTCTCTATGTCTTCACGAAGCTGTTGTCTGTGACTTTAGATTTGTGACCATTTGGTAATTGTGGTTTTTTTTGTGTGTTTTAGCTTGTTTCCTTGATTCTATGGCCACTCTGGGCTTGGCTGCATATGGCTATGGAATCCGATATGAGTTTGGGATATTCAATCAAAGGATTATGAATGGCTGGCAGGTAAATCCAGAACTCGATAAAATTCCATTTCGCTATGGTTACTAATTATTTAAGTAATACTTAGACAGAACCAGCTTAAAACAGCAGTACTAATTGAGCTCCGTGCTGTGTTCAATTGCGTGCTAAAAAAATATAAACAGAATGTGTGTTAAACTTGACCCTGATAATCTTTTACATCAACTAATTATTCTGTATTTATGTTATATGGCTTTAATACCATGTCAGTTTTCAAGGGAAATACCAAAACCATAAAACCTTGCATGTTCATTGATTTAGTATTAGTTCATTGAGATGTAACAAGGCAAAGATCAATTTTACACCTGTTCTATGCAAGTGTTACTGAAAATATTGCCTAGTTTATTTTAGCAATGATTTTATGTAAAAGAACATCACGGATAAAAACCATGTGGTAATCATGTGGGAACAAGATTTCCCTTGGTACAAATCTGATATTTTCTTTTACAATTTGATTTTTCAACCTGCAGTTTGGCTACTACATATATCATAATTGTATTTATTTTCAATACATTTTGTAAAAATTTTGTTAAACAGAAAAGGTGTTATTTGTTAATAAAATTTCTAACGACTCGTGATTTGAAGGATTATATTGTCCCCTGCACTGTGCATATTTACATGATTGTTTGAATATTTAAATCTATTGAGGGTTATAGAGGGCTCACAATATGTAATACTTGCTGAGTGATTCCTTACTGTTCAATTTGGCATCAATGTAGCTATTGATTGGGGCTTGGTTCAGGGCTGAATCAGGGCTAAACATGCTTGCCAAACTGCCTTAGAATGTGCAGGGTGGAGTCAGGCACTAAAATAGTTTGACAGATTAGATTCTAAGCCTCCTGCTTTTCTGCTGGGAAAGAGGAGACGTGGAACGGACCCATGCAGGAAGTTAAACTGTTACTAAACGGTTTGACTTCTAACAGCTGGTGGTGCACCAGGGCATGCCTGCCACCATGACCATTACAGTAGGATGTTGTGGTTATGGTGCTTGGAGTGTTCCTTGTAACTTTTTTTTTGGTGCATAGACTATTTATGATTACAAGCCTCCCACCCTCCCTCTAATTAAAAAGTTATACATAAGTACACAAGTAAAAAAAATATATTTTTAAATATGTGTTGATCGATAAAAGAAAAATGCTAAACAATAATACTTTGTAAACAGCCCACCCTAAGACTTGCTAAACTACAATAAATGTACCCTTTGAGTGTCAAAAAGGGTGAACAAATCATTACTTTTCAATGCAAAGGTCATCAAATTAGGGCCCTTGATATAAGCGTCTTGAAATTTTTATTTGCATACTTTCTGTGCCTGTGGAATAACTCAGCATTCCCTGTTGATAAAGGTTGAGGAAGCAGATGACTGGCTGCGTTATGGTAACCCCTGGGAGAAAGCACGTCCGGAGTTCATGCTCCCAGTTCATTTCTATGGGCGAGTGGAGCAGACGGCCGAAGGCTCCAAATGGGTGGATACTCAGGTATGTGTCTGTGTTACACACACTAGATCTGTGTGATAGGCATAAGTATTGTAAGTGCATTTTTAAAGCAACTGGTCTGCAAGCTCTAGATTCTAATCGTCTTCTCTGTGTATTTAGTGAAGACATTTATGCTATCTGCCTCTCTCAAACAAATGCTGGGAAAAAAGCATGTCAGTCGAATATTATCCATCCCAGCTCCCACTGTTCCTGCTTGATCTCTGATTACACACTGTAATAGTTTAGGTCAAGGGGTGGACAAAGATAAATAGCAGAACTACAAATACCATGATGCTTTGTCAAAGTGCTTTGTCAAAGGCTGCCAGGCTTAAGGTGGCTGGCAATTTGGTAGTTGTAGATCTACAACAGCTGGGGACCTACCGTTAGAACCGCTTAAGTGATATTACCATCATTTTGGTTTATTTTATAATAGTGGTTCTGTGGGGTGTTGCAGTGAACACACAAAAATAAGGCGGTTAAGATGACAGATATTGGCTGGCGTTGATTGCATGTACATTTATGCATTGCTGGGTTAGCCTGTGCTAATGAAGGTCTGTTGTATTTTCTCTCCTCAGATTGTTCTTGCAATGCCTTATGACACTCCAGTTCCTGGATACAAAAACAACACTGTTAATACAATGAGGCTTTGGTCTGCCAAGGCACCAAATGATTTTAATCTTCAAGAATGTAAGTGCATTGTCTGATATAATGGTCTGTGTAATATAATGTGCATTTAGTGATATGAGTAAAATATGATCACATTTATACTATCTATCTATCTACTGTGGTACATTTGACTATCAAGATGAAATCTTATACATTTAAAATAAAGGTGGTAATGGTTTAGAATAGAAGCATTATAACAAAAAATAGAGAGGTCCAGGCACTCCAGATCGCAGTGAAATAGGCAGTTTATTAAACTCACAGCCAAAGCAACGTTTCGACCAAACTGGTCTTTGTCAAGTGTGCTTTGGCTGTGAGTTCAATAAACTGCCTATTTCACTGCGATCTGGAGTGCCTGGACCTCTATTTTTGGTCTACTTATCTACTGGTCTTTTGGTACTGAGGCCGGCATGGCTGCACCCAGACTCAGATTACGTTGGGGGATTAATTTCAGTTCCATCTCATCTTTTTAGAATAGAAGCATTATCAGTAATGGAAATCCTGATTATTACTTGAAATAAGATTCTTTACCGTTAGTGTTAGCGGATTTGTTTTGGTAGCCTCGAAAGAGAGGTAAAGGGTGTGTTCCATACAGCTAAGTTTTCATACATGCATCACTATACCCTCTTAATACAATTCTTCCAGATAAAATTGTCCCTTTTAACCCTCATAATGTTGACAGCTTAGAAAAACAAGTCTCTTGCTCTCTATTAAAACTAAGACCACATTCGTTGTAAACAAACATGACTGGCAGATAATTTATGAAATTACACTGATCAGCAACAGCATAAAACCACCTGCCTAATAACGTATAGGTAGCCCTCGTGTTACCAAAACCGCTCTGATGTCGAGGCATGGACTTCACAAGGCCTCTGAACATGTCCTGTGGTATCTGGCAAAAAGTTATTAGCAGCAGAATCTTTCTATCATTGTCAACATTAAGCTTTTCAGCAATTTGAACTAAAGTATCTCTTCTGTGTGATTGAACTAAACGGACTAGCTTCCGCTCCCACATGCATAAATGAGCCATGGGTGCCCAAGACCCAGTGCCGTTTCACTGGTTGTCCTTCCTTTTGTCACTTTTAGTAGGTTCTAACCACTGCATACCAAGATAACCCTACAAGACCTGCCATTTTGGAGATGCTCTGCCCATTCGTCAAGCTACTACTTGGCCCTTGTCAAAGTCTTTGAAATCTTTTCGCTTGCGCGTTTTCCTGCTTTCAATACATAAAAATTCAAGAAATTACTATTCACTTGCTGCCTAATACAGTCCACCCCTTAACAGGTGCCATTGTAGCAATATAATGAATGGTATTCACTTCACCTATCAATGTTTTTAATGTTGTGGCTAATCAGTGTATATAACAGGAACCAAATACCTATCCGCATAGACCCCAACCCATCATTATCCTCAGATCCAAACTCTTTGAAATGTTGCCATTAAATGTGAGGAGAAAGTTTATTCTGATACAGTACATTTTATGGAATTAAGCAGAGCATCAAAAATGAAACTGATGTAATTTTCCAGGACAGATTCCAAACAAAGTATCCCACATACAATAAGCAATTACAGCACTACATGAGAGTAAGTGCACAGATGGCCCAGTTTAAAGGGACACTGTAGGCACCCAGACCACTTAAGCTAATTGAAGTAGACTGGGTGCTGTGATCCTTTTGCACTTAGTGCTGCAATGTAAAAAATTGCAGTTCCAGAGAACTGCAATGTTTATATTGCAGCTCTAAGTCTGCCCCCAATGGCTGTCTGCCAGACAGGCACTGGGAGAGTTTCTGGAATCCTAATAGACTTTTGGTCTGTTATCTGACACCTCATGGACCTCCAGCATCCGATTTTCCACATCTGTGCAATAATCATGCTGTCTAATCAGCATCTTGATATGCAACACCTGTGAGGTGGATGGATTATCTCGGCAAAGGAGAAGTGCTTACTAACACAGGTTTAGACAGATTTATGAATAATATTTAAGAGAAATAGGCCTTTTGTGTACATAGAAAAAGTCTTAGATCTTTGAGTTCGGCTCATGAAAAATGGGGGCAAAAACAAAATTGTTGCATTTATAATTTTGTTCAGTGTATATTTTAATTTATTTACTAATCAAATTACTGCCCGTTTGGATCTGTATTTTATCATCAACTATTCAGTAGAACAGTGGGCTGATTCACAATAGTAAGGGAATGCAGGGAAACAGCACCTTCACAAGTGTCCTCAACTCAAATAGAGATGGAACTATATGCAAAACAAGAGGATAAATAAAATGGAATATGGTGGAGTATTTTTGATGCTGGTGATTATAAATAAAAGAATGGAAATGCTCTTGAAATCAGCTCCAGATATATGCGCTTGGACGGTACTATCCCTGTCTGTGTATATGCTCAGGGACATGTCTTCCGCGAGGCAAACAAGGTATCTGCCTTGGGCGGCACTTGTCAAGGGGATATAAAGAAATCCGCCCCCCAAACGCCCAGACAGATCCCTTGCTTGTCTCGAGTCCTGGGGGGCTCAAGAACTAGCCAGCTGGCCACTTTTGAGGCGGCGGGGGAGAGAGGGAGAATACTTACCTGAGCACTTCCTGCTCAGCTGCCTCCGCGCCGCTTAATGAAGCCGGGATTCGGAATATGACGTCAGACCGGCTCCCGGCATCACTAAGCGCCGCCTACTCAGCCTGTGCGCCCCTTGCCTGCCCGACCAGCTGCCACATTGGACAGGTAAGGAATCCACTCCAGCCCTGGAGGCTGGGTGGATTTAAAATAAAATAAAAATAATTAAAGGTGAGTGTTGGAAGAAATGTGTGTGTGTGTCTGAAAGTGTGTGTGTCTAAGTGAATGTGTGTGTGTCTATAAGTGTGTGTGTGTCTGTAAGGGAATGTGTGTGTGTGTCTGTAAGTGTGCATGTGTGTGTGTCTATAAGTGTTTGTGTGTCTATGCGAGTGAATGTGTGTGGGTCAGTGAGTGCGTGCGTCTGACAGTGTGTGTGCATCTGTCAGTGTGTGTCCAAGTAACAGTGTGTGTGTATGTCATTGTTTGTCAGTGTGTGTCTGTCAATGAGTGTATGCGTCTGTCAGTGAGTGAGTGTCTGTCAAAGTGTGGCCTTGATAGGAAGGGATGGGGGAAATGTAAATTGGGGAGGCGGGAGCAGCCCAGATCCTAAATACACCACTGGATATGCTGATCTTTGTTTCAGTCTTAATCTTATGTGGAAAGGTATCCTTAGGCTGGTCAGGAGTGTGTGGTGGTCAGCGTTCGTAGGTCTAAACGGAGAGCACAGTAAAGTTATGCACACTCATATACACATATAATCCTCCAGGTAAAAATCTTCAGAGATAAATAGGAAGGTCCAAATTCAATTAAAAAAATAGGTTTATTTATAATCAAAATAATAAAACCAAAAATATAGTATAAACACTAATGCATTTCACCTTGACACAGGTTTTTTCAAAGCGTCCATTTTGAAAAAGCCTGTGTCAAGGTGAAACGCATTAGTGTTTTATTGGTGTTTTATACTGTACTTTTGGTTTTATTATTGTGGTATTATTTCCTGTAAGTCATGGAGGAGACATGCTACTCATGCTACTCTTAAATGAGCATTGGGGACCTGATGCGCATGCTCAGTGCTCGCTGCACACTCATCCAAGCTTCCTAATAAGCTCCCGTGTCACGTGTCGGGCTTTACTTGATCAGTGTAGCGGAAGTGACTCTAGAGATGGATTTAAAAAAAAAAAATACTGCAATGCTTAATTAAAAGGATTGGGGCATTGCACCCCCAGGTCCTATAAGATCTTTCTAGAAAAAGTCAGAGTTTGGAATCTCAGCACTCTGAATCAGACAGGGAACACTGCTATTAATATTCAAGTGAAGGTGGCTCACCTGGATCCGGTGAACATGCAGTGCATGCTTACATTGTACATAAAAATGAATCTCTGCTCCTCACGTTACGCTAGTGGAAAGGGGAGGTGGAATATGGGCACTGGAGATTTAACTTAAAATTAAGAACACAAGAGAGATTTAAACGGTTTGCTGGAAAAGTTTCACTGCACTATAATCTCTACAATAAACTGTCTTGGCTGTATTTCTTATCATGTCCATTTAAGGGGTGGTAGAGTTACCTTAGATCATTTGATGTAATCTTGTATCGTTCGTTGTAATACCCTACTTTAATTTAGCTACAACTATCGTAACTATCGACTTGCCTTAGTTCAGTGGTCTTCAACCACTGGTCCGCAAGAATTTATTGCCGGTCCGCGAAAGCTTTACCCGACTATACCGTCGGGTGAAAGCTTTCGTGAACCTGCAATAAAGTGCCGCAAAATAATTCCCTGGTGCTATGATCTTACGATCATAGCACCAGAAACCGTGCCTCCCTCTACCTTGCCGGCTCTGCAGGACTGGAGGGGAGATCAGAGATCTCCCTCTCCAGCCCGCTGGCAGTGCAATGCAGCAGCCGGCAGGGAAGGAGGGAGAGAGGACCCAGGGGACTCTAACCTGCAATTCCACCGGGTTCTCCTCTCGCGAGCTCAGAGCGTTGCTGCAGTTACCACTGCAATGCTCCGAATCTTGTGAGAGTGAACTGCTAGAGGCTGCTAGAGTTCACTCTAACCACTGGGACCACCAGGGCTTCCCCACCGGGCCTCGAGGGAGTGCAGGAAATGTCCCCTCTCTCAGGCAAAGGTAAGCAGGGATGGGGGATATCAAAATTACTTTTTTTTTTTTTTTTAAATATATTTATTTATCTACTCTCCAACCCCACAGACCTACAAACATCCTCCCATATACACGCACTGCCCCATACCCAAACACACTGCCCTATATACACACACACTTACCTCATACCCCCACACACATTGCCACCCCCACACACACACACACACACACTGCCCTCCCCCATACTCACTCACAAACTGCACCCTTCACACACACACTACATCCCTCACACATACCATTGGTTTTTATTGCTGGCTGACGCTGGTCCGCGAAATATTTCTCCTCTTTTCGCCAGGTCGCGGGTCCTAAAAGGTTACAGAACACTGCTTTAGGTCACTCAAGGACTTACTGCAGCTATAGAGGTACCTGCTGGCTGTTTTGATCAGGTTTGTGCACCTGAAAACCAGTTAACGTTGGAGCAGTATGAAAAGCTGCTTAATATGCTTTAAGAAAGGGAATGCACATCAGATGGAGTGGACAGGACATTCCTTTTGCTAGAAAGGAAATTTTATGAAAGCAGTGACTGCTTTAATCATCAGTTTTCTATTTTGGTCATACTCATTCCTGGTGGTGGTGGTACCGAGTGGCAATGTGGCAATGAAAGGACATCTTTCAACAGGTTTTTCTATTACAGGAGCACACTTACATTGTAAGAATTGTTACATTGTCTCGCTCTTGTGATTATCTGTACAGTGCTAGCGACAGTCTTGGGATGACCATATAAGGGGAATACATGTGGCCCAAGCTACTGCTATTTTAGTTTAGATCTTGCCAAGGTTGTTAGGATGTCGTGTAAATTTTTATTAAAGAAATATGATTCTTTATTTGTCTTCTTCCTAGCATGAAATGTTTTGTGAACAGTAATTCTAGTCCAATAATTATAAACATTTATTTTTTTTCAAACAAGCACAAAAGAATGTGTATATATTTTTTAACATTTTATTCATAAAATGCACTTATCCAGAGCTCTCGGTCACGTACAGGAGCTAGTGACTAAACTGACAATGCATGAAAATACTAATGGCTCTGTGATAGTAATAGCAATACTTTGAAGCTGTCAGTTCTAGTTATTTGAAACATATGTAGCATCAAGAAATATACAGAGGATGTTGTGAAAGGAATATTTTGCTCATTGCTACTTATTTCAAAGTCTCAGTGGCGCATTAAGGATGATCCCATTGTACAGTGCTATGGAATTTGCTGGCGCTATATAAATAATAGAATAATAATAATCAGTCATCATCAATGCTGCATTGAGTCTCATTTATTAAAATTAATTGTATGGTTTTTGGGGTAATTTAAAGAAATGTAAAAAGGGCCTGTGCACTTTAGATTGAGAAAACTCACAATTCTCTTTGTGGTTCCAGGCAGGATGTGGTAAGAAACTAAAATAACAGATAATATACATGTGTTTCTTGTTTAGTTAGAAAAATGTATAGATAAAAAAAAAAACAAGAAAGAAATTATTTTTAAACCCCAGTAAGTGGGTTTTCATTCCATAGACTTTTCCACCATGATTTTTATATACTTTATTCCATAAATAACAAAATCTGTGCATTATAGCTGAGTTGCAATGTGTCTATTTTCCCAACTCTTGGAATTTATAAATAAGCCTATAATGTACATTTAAGAGATTTACTATTTTTAACAGTATAGAAATTGCGCATAAGTATTGTTAAATACAAAAAATACAACCAGCTACTGAAAGGAGTAACTGCATATGTTTGTAAAAGTCTATTATACTAAATATATATTTGAAATGGTATACTTAAAAAGTCTTTGGCTATGCAATATACATTGAGTTAATCGGTGTGGTGTATGTGCTAAAGCACAGGGATAAACAAAGGCTAGAGTTGACAGGGTCAGAGGTCACTGAGACGGTTATGACCTGTTTGGAATGTTCCTGCAAATAGAGTGTTGGTGTATGTGAATATAGACATATAAGATGACTTACTAGATTTCACGATTTAAAAGGAACACATCAACAAAATTATAATTTATTTTTTAAATAATTGATATATTTTTTTTAGGCTTTGTTTTAATGATTTTGTAGTTAGACACCGAGTTATTCAATTTAAATTAATATTGTGATTAGATTTTTGTGAATATTTTTGGCCTCAAATTAGATTAAAAAAATAAATATAGTATGACATCTAAGGTCTTGGTAAAACGGGACTATACAGTTAACTCGCCCCATCGCACCAAACCCCCAACTAACACCCACAGATTGACCTATAGCCTTTAATCATCATTTTTCATCTATTACACATGTTAACCTAATCTTAATTCTGTAATCGCCATGTCTATGTCTCATATACAATACTTTGTAATGGTTTGAACACACACTTAGACATGCCTGTTATATTCCTACTATGTTATCAAAAATGGTGCTGCAAACTTGACATATGCTTTTCTCATGTGCTAATCTTGGAATTGTCAAAATGTCTTTACTTGCATGTTGTTGCTTTAAAGCACCACAAAAATAACGAATTATAAAAAAAAAATACATAATAAATAATAAATCTTGATTTGGGAATTATTTTACTATTCAATTAGCAAGATAACAGAGAGAAATCAATATAACTTTATTGTGTAGTATACATGAGAAGATGTAAGAAAATAACACAGTGGTACAATGAGCAAATATATATCCAATTAAAATTGAGGAAACCTTTGGAAAGATCTGGGAAACTTGGACAGAAATTGGGCTTGTGTTATTAAATGGGGGTTTGAGAAGAGGCCCAGATAATGCCAAAGAAAGTGTGTGATGCTTTTGAGATGTAAATCAGTATTGAAGTCCGATTCCTAGTCTGGGTGGAAAACAAAGATTTATAATGATGTAGGTAGATGGGGGAAATACAGTTTTACTTCCCAACAATTCACACTTTAGTGAATGACTGTGACAATTTGATATAAATATAAATGTTGGTTATACAAATCTTGTCCACTAGCATCCATAAAATGGAATCACTGCAGTCTCATAGAAATGTTCTTTATTTTAATCTACATACAGGAAAATCTAACCACTCAGAGTTTATCACGTTTGTTTAAAACAAATAAAATAAAGACCTAATAACACAAAATAAATCCCATATTTGATACTGAAGCTCTCTCTTTCCTATTTAACAAAGGCTCTTAGCACCTGTTTGCCAGATTAGTTTTGTACTAAGCCTTCTCATTATGAGATAGCATTGGCAAACAGGTGGTTGTGCATGCATACTTGTGTACATGGTTGAAAAAGCTACATTGCTGCCAGACTTTAATGATGCTTCAAAGGGCACCTGTCCTACCCCAAACAACTTATGCTCATTAGACTGAGCGTAAGATCTTATCTATACATCGTGCTATCAGTTTTGCTAGCAAAGGTATAGATTTGGAGAAAAATCTATTTAAGTATTTCCTCCCCAGCTCTCAGTCAATGCCTCCCATAGGTGGCCCCTCTGCTCTTCACTCATAGGAGCACTCAATTCCAACGCTGGCAACGACACCAGTGTGCCAACATCACTGACGAGATTTGCCCTGCTTAGGTATGCTTTCCAATCAGGGCAAATCAAAGATTTGGAGGAGCGGAGGAGGCTTAAGTGGTTTATGAAGAGTAACTCCCACAAAGCGGCGCTGGAATGGAGGAAAGGTGAGTAAATCTTTATATCTTACATTGAATACACCACGTATCTTTGTGAATGGTGTATTCAATGTATATGGGAGCGATTTCTGATGAGTTCATTTTTTTTCACAACAGGTTCACTTTAGGTGTATATGGACATATTTCAAATGTTGTGTATATTCACCTCTTCTGTCATCTCCTGTATTGCAGTTAGCTTTATAAATCTGCAGAATGACCTTTTTTAGAAATATGACCGGGTCAGACCTTTGTATCTTGAAAGTAACACAGAACAACTGTGATAACACCTAGCATGGGTGAATGTTTATGACACCCTTGAGTCTCATAGTTTAATTAAATATTTTTTTCAAGTGAGGCAACAAGGCTGGCTAATTGTTATGGTCTAATAAATGTTTTCCTTTTTTACACGCATTGCATTGTATTGACTATCCTTATCTGTAGACCGTATTCTTTAATTTATATTTTTCTCTATTTCAGTTAATGTTGGTGATTATATAGAGGCCGTCTTGGACAGAAATCTGGCTGAAAATATCTCCCGAGTCCTATACCCCAATGACAATGTGAGTTGCAGTTTTAAAAATCACACATAAATCACACATTTAAATTAATATATTAAGAAAAATGATACCCACACCACCTTATCTTGAAATAGTAACTGGGTCCGTGAAGGCTCTATATAATGTTTTACACTTCAAAGTTTGTCTGAAATAAATCCTTTTGACGATCCTCCAAAACAACCTCAGGCGCTGTAGCAAGCTTGGCCATGTGAATGTCTGAGGAAAAAGTTCCTATTTTCAATATTTTCAATATTTGCTCCAATTGGTAGAAAATAATTTAAATAACTGGGCATCTCATATATAACTGGGAATCGCATATATGTAAACAACAGTGAAGGAAAACAACAGATAGTCACAGCACTAATCTTAGTTTAGTGAGGAATGATCATTGTTCCATAGATTTTCAATACATAATGTTTATTTTATATTTATTTCTAAATGTTTATTTTTTATTATATATTCTGTAACTTTAGGTCTATGATCCACTGGGCATTAAAGCACAAGCTTTCTAGAGAAACTACTTTGTTGCTCATATTATTCCACGCATGGTTGCCCCCTAGGTAATTCATTGGTCACCTGTGTATTTATATACTTGGTGACTTGCCAACACAGTTTTTCCAAGGACCCATAGATCCTTTAGTGGTAATGTACAGAGCATTAATTATTTAAGGATGACGGAAAAATTGCTTAGAAAGAGGAAGAGATCATATTGCAGGCAAGCAATACATGATATCCTTTAAATATCTCCTTCTGCAAAGAAGCATTCACTCCAGTTGTTGTAAAATACATCTCCCATATTACTCTTACAGCCAAAATGCTGGCAAAAAATCAGGGGAGATGTAGTCCACGACATCTAGAGTGTCGAAGATTGCCTACTCCAGATCTAGAAGGACAGAAAAATGCCATCAACCATGGATAGGCAGGAAGGGAGAACTGGAAATGTGTTAAGAACACAATCAGTGGCGTACACATGACCCATGGGGCCCCGGTGCGAAAATTGATCCGTGGCCCCCCGCGCGCGCGCTTACTCGGCGCGGGTTGGGGCCGCAACACATGGCGGCGGGCACCTGGTCGCAGGGGTTGCAGGGCTGCGACCCCGCGACCGCGGTATGCACACACACTTAAAGGACCACTACAGACACCCAGATCACATCAGCTCAATGAAGTGGTCTGGGTGCCAGGTCCCTCTAGTTTTAACCCTGCAGCTGAAAACATAGCTGTTTCAGAGAAACGGCTATGTTTCACTGAGGGTTAATCTAGCCTCTGGTGGCTGTCTCATTGACAGCTGCTAGAGGAGCTTCCGCGATTCTCACTGTGAAAATCACAGTGAGAAGACACGGAACGTCCATAGGAAAGCATTGAGTAATGCTTTCCTATGGGCGGTTTAAATGCGCGCGCCTCTTGCCGCGCATGTGCATTTGGAGCTGAGAGGCGGAGGGATCCCCAGCGCCAAGGGAGTCCGACGCTGGAGAAAGGTAAATGCTGAAGACACAAACACACACTCTCACGAACAGACGCATACACACTAGCTAACAGACACACACATTTACTGACAGAGACATACTCAGTGACAGACATACATACACACTCACTTACAAAACATACACTTTCACTGACAAACACACACTCACTAACAGACATCAAACACACTCAGTAACAGACACACACAGTAACACACTCACTAGCAGACACGCACCCAATAACAGACACACACACTAACACACACACAAACACATTTTTTTTTTAAATTTAATCCCTCCAACCTCCTTACCTTTTGGAGTGCTGGGGGGATTCCCTGGGGTCCAGTGGTGGTGCTGCTGGGCTCCTGGGGCTCCTGGGTGGCCGGCGCGCGAGGGAGCACTCTGCTCTGAGTGCTTCCTCTTCAGCTCCCTTGCGCGCCGCATAGGGATGCCGGAGCTGGAAGATGACGTCATCTTCCGGCTCCGGCATCAGTGCGGTGTGCGAGGGAGCTGAAGAGGAAGCACTCAGAGCAGAGTGCTCCCTCGCGCGCCCTCCCGCCTGCCTGCCCGGTGACAGCAGGGCCAGCCTCGGGGGGCCCTGAGGTGGCTGCCTCCTGGGCCCCCCAGGAGAAGAGGCTGGCCTTCTGGGTACATACCGGGTCGCAGGGGCGGCCGGGCCCCCTGGTGGGCCGGGCCCGGTCGCAACCGTGACCCCTGCGACCCTGGTATGTACGCCACTGAACACAATACAGGTCTAATAAATTAAAAATAAAACATAAAAAAAAATTATTTTAGTTTCATTTTATTTTTTAAATTTATTAGACCTGCATTGTGTTCTTACCAAAGACGATTCGTTAAAAACGTTTATCTATTATTGTCACTGTTTTGTCCTGTGACTAGAAGTTCAGATCTATTTGTTTACCTCTGGTTTGCAGAAGTTTCTTTTGGCTTTCTTGAACCTCTCGGTCTATATTTGCTGTTGTGTGCCTCACATTTCCTATTGTATGTATATCGCTGGTGGATGGGGAGAGCTGTCGCTTTCTTTTAGCTGAACTGTTAACCTTTTCTAAGGTTAGAAATAAGCTGCTTGCTTATTTATTTATCTGTAGTAAGAAAAAAAAATTCTACGCAACAAGTGCAAAGTGATTTCCATGCAATGATTTTCAACGTTAAAGGAGAATATTAATTGAGAGTGTCGTAAATGGTTTCACAGATTATTATGGGATGGCCCCTGGTGATATACAGGATGTTTCACACTGAATGTTTTTGGATTGTCTGCTAATATGTTACTCTGTCTTAGTTCTTTGAAGGTAAAGAGTTGCGTTTGAAGCAGGAGTACTTTGTTGTAGCTGCCACGCTTCAAGACATAATCAGGCGATTCAAGTCTTCCAAGTTTGGATGTCGGGATCCGGTTAGAACAGCTTTTGATTCATTCCCAGACAAGGTAAAGTGCTTGATCTATTATTCATTATTTAATCCTACATAGGGATGTTCTCCAAAAATACATATAATAATGCTACTATAAAACACATCTGTTATATTAGTTCAGAGATATCTTAAAGGTACCTGGTATATTCTGAGGTCTTCCACTAAACACGGAATTGTACATTTTAGTTTAATTGAAAACATTCAATTTTTTCCCAATTCAAATATGATTTGCAATGCTCCTTTTCAATTTGCCAAGTTTTAGTGGAGAACCCTCTGGTGTCTGCATTACATTTTATATGTTTCTGGGCAGCCTCAAGGGATAGTTTGGGAATAGACGGAGCCAATTATAAATATTATCTTGTGAATAAAGTCATAGCATTACTTAGTAGCATAGCAGTTTGTACACAGAACTTTATGACTGAATGTAGATATTATATTACCATTATAGAGCAGAAAATTCAAAAGGGTAACTTATAGAACAGTTTGTAAAATAAAGATTTGTGGAAATAAGCATTTTATTTTTCTCCAATGGTGCAGACTAAGAATACCTCCTGGTGCTTTAGTCGCTGTGGACTAAAGCACGATGGAAGTTGTAAATCATAGTAGCTGGGATGCCAGGATATTGCTTGTCCTTTCTACTGAAAACTGCAACCCCAATCAAAGTGTTTGTTGGACTCTGCAGTTTTGGGCATTGTGTACATTGGCAGAGTGTGATGGGAGTTACAATTGGAATTGCAATCTATTGTAAAGCATCACTTCCATCATGCATACAAAACAACAAATACATTGTGTGGTGAGAGCTGATGTGCCATGTAGTTTATATATACTGTGAAAATAGGATGATTCTGTACCATTTACTCATACTCACTTTTCTTATCATGATTGACCGAAAGATATTTGAAAATGGCTCATAATTTTCGCAGCAGTCGAGAGAGATAGGGTGGAGGCAACTTTTAAATCTGTGCCTTGCATTTCATGCTTTGCTTGTCATCAGAACATTCAATATAACAGCAAAGCAAAGATACCAAGCCATCCTGATAGCTACGATATAGTTTATAGTGCGAACATTTACTCATAAAATCTATTCGTTTACAAGAAATCAGAAATGTTCATGATCCACTCTTGATCATCCAAGCTGCTTGCACATATGTGCATCAACCTACATAGTGCCTGTTCCCTTGATCCTGTTCCCTCATATTTAATTAACACTCTGTCTCCTTCTCTTGCTCTGCCCCTCACTAAAATATTCAATATCTTCCTCTCCTGGCATATTTCCTTCATCTTTCAAGCATGCAACAGTAACCCATTATGTAGCGCATTATACTCCAACCTCTCCTTCATCCCGCATGTCAAGTCGATTGCCAAATCCTGCCATTATCATCTCAAAAACATAGCACGCATCTTCCTATTCACCTGTACCTCCTACATCTCCACCCTCTGTCAGTTCCTACATTGGCATCCCATAAAATAGAGAGCTTTAAAATTAAATTTAAAATTCTTAGGGGGCAGGCCTTTCCCTTCCGTATCCTAACCCTTGCCTCTCTCCGATAGGCATTGGCTGTATGAATGATACTCCACTCCCCCCAACCCCCTTATTTTTTCTCTTCGCCTCCTTTCTCTTTTCCTTATTTTCCCTCCCCACACCTTGCTTTCTCTTCTGCATCTGTCATAAAAAGAAAAACTAAGCCATCATTGAAAACTATTCTAGCAACCTACTTTTCTACCCTACCTTTACTTTTTGTGTTATTATACCCCACTCTCTCTAGGATTGGCCATCAACCCCCTCTGTTCCTGTCAGTCTAACTCATCTGGTTAAAAATACTTGTCTGTTATCCCACCCATTGTACAGCATGGAGGAATTTTTTGGTGCTTTTTAAATATTAGTAATAATTGTAACTGATTAACTGTTTTATTTAAAGGAACACTATAGACACAAAGACCACTTCATGTGCGTAAAACTTGGCAATGCGATGTAATTGTCCCCTAGGAAAACATTGATTCAGTGCTTTTCTATGGGAAAGTTTAAAATGTGTGTGTGTGGTTCAGGTCTGTGGGCTACTTCCTAGGAATGGGGATATTTATTCCACAATTCCAATCCTGTCCACACTTTAAACAAGGCACCTCCAACTATACTCCTGTATTCTGAACTACAACTCCCACAATTCTTTAGCCATCTATTGCATTCAGTGACTTCTGGGAGTTGGACGCGATCAACATTTTGGAGACCAGAGCTTGAGATCCCTGCTTTATATCCTTTCATTAGAAAACACTGATGGATTTCATAACATGGAAGTCATTTGTGACCCGGTTTCTTTGTTAAACAGGTTGCCATCCAGCTGAATGACACACATCCTGCCCTTGCCATCCCAGAGCTCATGAGGATCCTGGTTGACATTGAGAAATTGGATTGGGACAAGGTAATTTGGTGATATAATGATGGCTACTCATGTGTTATCTTAACCCGTATCTACAAATTCCACATACAGAGCAATGTGCCTGAGCTTAAGCCATCAATGATCACACTTTGACTTGATAAATTAAAGGCATGACAATACATGCGCAAACCAATATTTCAGTGAGCATGGTTTTTATTATGAAACAATTCAATAGCCACATAACCTTTGGAATAGAATTACATGGACTTACTTGGAGGGGGAGGGGGGTTCACTATTACAATTTCAAACAGAAATTTCAGAATTGCATAACTGGTTAACACCTTAATAATAGCTAAAACGAATGTGCAGGAAACCCTAAATTTGCAGACTAATTACTGAAATAGTAACATAATGGAAGATTTGAAAAAAACATGCAAACAGCACGAAAAAGTTTTAAAACCATCTGTATATTGTAAATTTAGAAGCAATCTTGCAGTACATTAAATAAACATGATAGGCGAAACGCGCTGATAGGTGAAACGCGCGTCAGGGAGTTCAGGGTGGCGGATGATATAGATAAGCATGGCAAAGATTGTTAGTCCATTCTAAGCAGTTTGAAACTTCTACCAGACTTAGTTCAAGAAATTTCCCGTACTTAGAGACGCAAAGATTAATAGTATCTACCTCTCTAGGAAATTGTTCTTTCCGTCATACCATGGATATGGGGAGGACGGTACTCGGGGTATGGATCAGTCAGGGGTAGAAAGGACAGTATAGAGTTACAGGTTTCTGAGAGGATAGAGCAGGGAGAGTTAGGTATAACTTTTGTTCCTTCCCTATCTCCCTGTGCCATTATACTGTTTTAAGTACAGATTCTCCTCTCCTGTCCTCTTTTGATCTGGTCCTCGGCACTTTATTATGAGAGATCGATAGGCTGGAAACCTAGGTTAAAATAAGGTTAGCATTCATCGCTGTCTTCTGTTGACGTTTGTCATATAAACAAGTGGTGTATCGAGTGAACAGGTGTTTTCTTACACTTTAGATTATACAGTTACAAGAGAAGTTTGTTACAGTGATAAAAAGCAACAATGTTACACTAGATCATCACTGAAGATTTACAATCCCAGTAGGCAGAAGTGTTAAAAACGTACCAACGGGTGAATGAATACCCAGTGACATTTTACGCTATCAGTAAACCTAGAGATACAGGGGACATTACCCTCATTATTACTGTTTTAGAGAACTGCTATCGACCAAAAGATATTGGGAATAAACTCATCTATCCACACACCGATTTGTTTAATAATAAGCAAGGTCGTTTATGTACACCTACTTATTAGATGATAGGATCTCTATTCAAGGGCTAATAAAGTCCGTAGTGGGTATTTTACTACACTATTTTATAATTATTTTGACATAATTTTTTCGTTATATTTTGTTATTTATTTATTTATTATTTTTGTTTTTTACCATCACTAGATGTGTATTTAGTGCACTTGTTTGGGGTGATAGTGTGTATCTAGTGCCCCTTAAAATTAAGGGACTTTTAAATTAAAATATTAAAAGTGACGTTTTAAAAATTGATAAGTTTCACTAAACATCTTAGTGTTCCTCCTGGTGTTTAAACGAAATTGCACCGGAATCTCCAACTTCTCTTTCTTTTCTTCTTTGGTTTATCAACTAGGGGTTACCCCCATGGAGGTTCTGGTTATTTAAGGCTCTTTTCTTCTTTTTTCTTATTCTTTAAATGAATGTTAAATAAACATGATGATTATATTCTTTAAATGGTATTAAAATGATTAAGATCTATGGAAATACTGGTGACATACCACTGACGGTGTTAATGTTAATTTATCCCTAGGCCTGGGATGTAACTAAGCGGACCTGTGCATACACCAACCACACAGTGTTACCCGAAGCCCTGGAGCGCTGGCCTGTTCATCTCTTTGAGAAACTGCTCCCTCGCCACCTGCAGATTATCTACGCCATCAACCAAAAACACCTGGATGTAAGCCTTGTGTCAAGATTTAAAGGGCTATTCAATAAAGTGTGAATTGCCAGCAATGCAAAGGGAATTGTATATTTTAGACCAAACTAGTGAAAAAAATAAATAAATAAAAATCTGAGGATTTTTCTTTTCCTAAAATCTGACACTGTTTGAATTCTTGACAATGTACACTTTAATGACTAGCCTAATTTATCTTTAAACAATAGACTGTCATATAATCCTGGTATAATCCCCATATTTTCTAATGTTATGTACTCTAGTGCAAAATGGATAGCAGTTAGCAGTTGAGGACTCGGAGGAGTAAATTGTATATAATAAGATACTCTGTCCATTCACATTTCTCAGTTTGCAGTATGTCCCAGAATGCATTGCAAATGGAGCAAACCACTAAGGTTTCTGGGTCAGGTGCACAGTTTACTTCCCGTGTTTAGTCTTGTGCTTTCAAATTCTGATGTGGCCTCCTGTGTATGTTGTAATGTAACCTTTACATTGATATAATTTGTTGATATTTTTGCTAGCACAATGTTTCTATATCAATGTATGTGCACATCGAATATGGAGGATCGATCACCTAAATAGGGTGGGAGATATATTATATTGGGGAATACGGACCCTTATTGGTTTTCCATGCACAGTTTAAATAACTCTTACGTGTGCCTTGTTTCATTTTGTTTATATTAATTACCATTGATAAAGAGCATTTATTTAGATACACTATCTAGAGTAAAATGGCCCATGTTGTTCCCCTGCAGCTATGAAGCTGATAATTGGCCATTATTTGTAGTGTAAACCTAGTGAAATCCCAGGGGTTTATTTACTCAACTGCAAGTTTTGCTGACATGACAGTCTGAGAAGGTTTGAACATTCCGACCTCCACAAAATCTCCACAACTCAGCAGTTTTTTTTGGTTTTTTTTATTATCTTTCTCAGCTTGAATTATTATTAATTTAAATTATATTTAAATTATCTTTTTCTGTCAGATCACCACTAATAACTAGCATTTATAAATCCAATGTGCAGGCAGACCTGACACTGTTACCGAGCTACAAATCCAGGCAGGTGTATGATTCATTAGTGTGACATGCCAGGATTCAAGTGAATTGCAAATCTTAGGCCACATTAGCCTCACTCAGCATTTGTTATCTGGATATTATGGGAGTTCTAATTTGATAGCTAGAGAGCTTTTCCTTTATTTTAGATGAGCGGGGTTGGATAAACTCCTGTTTTTATCTCCCTGAGGCCTTAACCCCACATTATGTAATCTTAGATCATATAAAATTAGGTGGTAGCTAACTTGTACTAGTTTACACATCAGTGCAATTAATGGGAACTCTTCTGTCAGGTCTTTGCTAGGGAAAATAATTTCACAATTGCAAAGTGCTGGAACCCGGGGGATTTGTCACCAGTCTATATATATATATAAGACATCACCTCACCCTTCTAAAAGTCTTACATGCTTTGTTTTTCTTCTTACTCTTCTCCCAACACCCAGGAAGTTGCAGCCTTGTATCCTGGTGACTTTGATCGTCTTAGAAGGATGTCCATTATTGAAGAAGGCGACTGTAAACGAATTAACATGGCTCATCTGTGTGTGATCGGGTCTCATGCTGTGAATGGAGTGGCCAGAATTCACTCAGAAATTGTTAAAAATACAGTGTATGTATCAAGGGAGAATATCTTCTGCACCTTGAATGCTATTTATAAAGCACCAACACATTCTGCAGAACTGTACACGAGATATAGTTTTAAAAAAACAGTAGTTGCAACAAGACATGATGGACATACAGGAACAGAATGTGCCGAGTGTCATTTTTAAACAAGCTAGCATTCTAACGGGTGGAATGCCCAACTATTTGCTCTTGATCATTGTAAATGCAAATCTCAAAATCTCCAACATGCCGCTTGGAGTGAGAGCCATTAATTAACCACAGCTTTAGACACATTGGGGTGAAAGTATTCTCTTGATTTAAAGTACTAAAAGTGGGGGAATCGCCGTGGAAACCACTGGAAGCAGCATGCACATTCCATTGGTTATTTTTCCCTTTTTAAATATTTGCACCACTTATTAGAACAGAACACTTTGATAAACCTCCCTGTAGTTTGTAAAACCAGATAGATTAATTTGTATCATATTGTGACTGTAAAAACAAGAGCCATATTATAGAGCGGCCATTAAAGGGACACTCCAGCGCCAGGAAAATAAATCGTTTTCCTGGCACTGCAGGTCTCCTCTCCCTCCCACCTCCCATCCCATGTTGCAGAAGGGGTGAAAACGTTCCTCGGCGGTGGTTTCAAGTCCGCCCAGACTCCTCCCCCGCCGTCATCTGGCGGGGGAGACCTAATGCGCATGCTGGACAATATGGCACGCGCATTAGACCTCTCCCTGTGCTTTCCTATGGGGAATTGAGCGATGCTGAAGGTCCTCACATAGCGTGAGGACGTCCAGCGAATCTATAGCACAGAAAACCTGTGCTATAGACCAGGAAGTGCCCTCTAGTGGCTGTCTGCTAGACAGCCACTAGAGGAGGAGTTAACCCTGCAATATAATTATTGCAGTTTATGAAAACAGCAATAATTACAGCTGCAGGGTTAAGGGTAGTGGGAGTTGGCACCCAGACCACTCCAATAGGCAAAAGTGGTCTGGGTGCCTGGAGTGTCCCTTTAACAAGCATTTAAATTTCTCTAATGTACTTCAGATTAAGTTATTTCTTAGACAGGGGTGCCCTTTTAACCCAGACTTGGATTTTACAAGACAGACTATTATCCAAACGGAAATACTTTAACAAATACCCAGCCCTCTGCCCTACACATGAATGGTTCTATACTAAACCCTGTAAAGTATGTTTATACTTGGGTTTCTCTTTCCCTATTCCAATACCAAAGCATGCACAGTGTTCTCCAATTTTACAAAACTGTGCAATTGTGTAAAACACTGCAATAAAATTGGTTGATGAAAGAAATGAATGATTTTCCATTACTACTATATTTCAACAAACACAACATTCCACACAAAAAAAACTGTTCTAGCTTAGCCCTGGAAAAGGTTAAAAATTAGCAAAATGTGTCAGAACAAAACATGCAGAACATAATACATATAGCAAAATGTGAAAGAAAATAGCACAGTGCAAACAAATTATATAGAACCATGTCAACAGATGAGCTCTGATTGTCTGCAAGCAATGAGTCATTTGAGAGCAAACTTGGAGTTTTATCTCAGATTGCACTTGGCCCAATGATGGCTTATTCTGAACACGTTTTATGTGGATCAATATAAAATACTCAAGAGAGTGAAAAAATTAATTACATTGTATGGTCTCACGCAGATACAAAGTTATTTAACTTGCCCTCAAGTTTTTATTTTATTTTTATTTTACAGCTTTAAAGATTTTTATGACTTGGAGTCCACTAAATTTCAGAACAAGACTAATGGTATCACTCCTAGAAGGTGGCTAATGTTGTGTAACCCTGGCCTGGCTGATATCATTGCAGAGGTGAGGAGTCTTGCCACAGCCCAGGCTGTCAGAGGGGTTTTATATGCTGAACAGTTCACTTCTTAATACATAAACCCCAAAGAATGTGCTGTTTTATTGTTATGTGGTCCCTTTACTGGTATGTGCACTGGCTGGATGGAATTTTAATGAGGATTCAGTGCTTAGAGTATCAGTACATTCTATGCTTTTCACACAGCTGGTCATAGTCATTTAAAGAGGGATTTAACTTTACATATTAACATTTGTTTCCATGATATTCTTGCCTGAGCAGAGTAAGCACAGCATGCATTTGTTGTAGATACTTGCTGTCTATACTCACTACAAATGTTTAGAAAAGGGGTCCTCATCAATATATGCCCCAGCCAAACAAAAGTTTTTGTTTACGGTTAGTTGATGTTGACTTATGCATGTTATCAGACATTTGACATAACTAAGCACACTAGATAAGACCTAATTTGTATTTTCTTTGCAGAAAATTGGAGAGGATTTTGTGACCGACTTGAGCCAGCTGAAGAAATTGTTAGATTTTGTGGATGATGAGAGCTTTGTCCATGACATAGCTAAAGTTAAGCAGGTAAAGTGCTGTGTTACTACAGGAAAGCAGTGATGGTTCTTGATACACGGTTTAGATATTTAAATTCCCCCCCACCCCCCCCACACAAGAAAAGTATTTGGCCTTGTTATTGTCAGAATAATTAATTGCCGTAATATATGTTAGGTTTTGCTATCCAGTTATCCACATGAGAATCTTTCATTAACTAATTGAATAGTAACTTAAAGGGACACTATTGTCACCAAGAACACTTCATCTCATTGAAGTGGTCTAGGTGCAGTGCCCCTGTCCCCTTAACGTAAAACATTGCAGTTTCATAGAAACTTCAGTGTTTACATTGCAGGAATAAGACAACCTCTAGTGGCGTCTTCTCACGGACATTATTACGCTTTGCCCTAATGTGCGTGTGGCTCTTGCCATCTAGGTAACCCCCTCACTGTGAAGTACAGGAGGAGGAAATCAATCCGGACTGAGTGACCTCAGTGCTGGTAAGTGAAAAAAGGGGGTTATTATCCCTTTTCACCTGAGGGAGTGGGGATTGGGGTAGTCTTTTTGTTATAGTGAGAGGGATACTATAGCATTAGGCATACAGTTTTGTGCAGTATGGCTAACGCTATAGCGTTCCTTTAATTTACAAAAAAAATAAGTTTACGGCTTAGTAAGTCTGAGACACTCCAGGAATGTATGCAGTTTTTCTACTTGACTTTTGTATTATTTTTTCTGCTCCCTATCGCCATCTACAGCTCTGTGGCTATACTTTCATCTTGCAAGCCATCATTTTGTTCCCAAGTCTGTTTTAGTTGTACACTAGTTACTCCTAATAGGAACCCTACTTTTAACATAGGGAAACTTTCTAACCAAGTTATTAAAAGGTTACTTATTATAGTCCTCATTCACTTTTTATATAATTATTTATATGTACATTTCAGGAGAATAAGTTGAAGTTTTCTGCTTACCTGGAAGAGCAATACAAAGTGAAGATCAACCCTTCTTCCATGTTTGATGTTCAAGTCAAGAGAATCCATGAATACAAAAGGCAGCTATTAAACTGTTTACATATCATTGCAATCTATAACCGTGAGTACTACATAGTGGAATTATATGAATTCATTGTATAAATTATGGTGAATCATTTTATATGGGCAGTAATGGATCACATATTTTAGAAAACGATGTGGATACTACTATTTGAATGGTTACAAAAAAATGGTAGAAAAGGATTAGAAATGGACAAAGTGCCTTCTGATCACCACATATCTCTATCTAGTAATAGGCATATACACATTAATAATTTTAATAATAAAATACCCTTTTTTTTAGAGATCGTACTTTCCTTTATTGAATGCAAAACACATAGAAATATTCACAACATAAGTTTCTGTCATATCAAGCTACTTAAAGAATTTTAAGTCTTACTCTGGTCCGTTTCCAAGTGCATCCCAAGATCTAGGAGAGCCGATTGATTGGTGTTGTAACATAATATTGCACTTTAAAACTTCACAGAGATCAAAAAAAGTAAAAAAAAAACAAACAAAAAAAAATCCACCAAATCAAAATAAGTACATTTTAATTACAGTTAAAAAAAATAGACATGTGCACAGTGAACAATGTAACTATTATCTTTAGGTTTCAAGACCAGGATCCACTAACTAGCCAGAATGTCTGTAAATCCCAACTTTAGCACAGATAATGTATTCAGGGGATCAATCATTTTCATTGAGAACAAATGTACCAGTAGAAATATCCTACTTTTATGGTTTTAAGGACCGTATTGGTTTTGGGGGGAAGGGACATCTACTGTCATTATAGGAGTACTGTGCATAATAGATGTCTGAACACATATCCAAATTCAGTATATTTAATTTGTGATATTGGCAATTAACATTAGTAGAAACAGTGTTGGAGAAATTCCTGAAATAGTAGACATGTACTATTAAAATCTTTAAGATTTACTCCCTGTAGTGGTTTTTTAATTAAAATTTTAAATATTCCTTAGTCAGTCTGCTCAGAATTATACCATTCATATAGTCTACTTCAGTTTACTGTTATAATCCATACAAGCTCTGTTATATTACAGTACCATAGAGGTCAAATAAAAGTTTAACACACGTCATTTGCCGTTTATTGTTGATCTCCTTACCATAATAGACAGAGCAAGAAATGAAATCATACCGTACTGTGATCCATAGGAAACGATTTAAGAAAATATATATATTTTTAAAAAAATAAATGAACAGTTATTTAGACTGAATCAATGTTGTGTTTATAGTCATATGGAAGACCTCAAAATTGTGGGAATTGACCTCGAATATAACTTGTATACAGTGAAACTGTCACATAGGGGGCTTTTTCTTAGTAAGTTAGTTTTCTTACAAAGTTAGTTTAGACATCCTGTAGTTCTGATGAAACTCTCTCTTATTAATTTTGTTGATTGTCTGTGAACCCTCCCACATCCAAAACTTAATATATTAATCTTGCTGAGAGCCTAGTGATTATATTTAGTTAGAGCAACCAAGTAAAGGAATTTAGGGTGGAAAACCATTTTATAGAGCCTTTTCAGAATACAGCTTACAGCATTACTACAAATAAATACAAAGCTCATTTAGAAAGCAGTGCTATGTACCAGTTTTGTTCAAACCTAGAGTGTGGAGCATTTTGGCAACGTTTTAGTAACCAACATCTGTCCCTCCACTCACTTTTGCCAAAAATACCCCCATCCCCAGGTGACTGGTGGTCCCCAAACCCGTATAAACTAAAGCCCTACCTACCCCCCTCACCCTAAAAATAGTAGGGGGTAGAGAACAATAAAACTAAACTCCTGTAAATAGAAAAAAATAAAATAAAAAATTTACCATTTCATGTTTTCTTTTTTCAGCCCCCCAAAAAGGCCAAATTAAAACCCCTTAAAGCCCATCTAACTTAAAAATAATAAATAATTGCTCTGATATGTAAATGGTGAGCCTTACAGGTAACCAATTGGGTAAGGCTCACTATTTACCCATCAGAGCACTCTTATTGGTTGTCTTAAACCAACCAGAGCGCTCTGAGTCAAATTGCAGGGTATGGGAAGGCTTTTTGCGTCAGTTTTTTTTTTTTTTGTCGCTCAGGTCTTTTTTTATTATATAAGTTTGACGGCTTTATGAATTTTAATTTGCCCTTTTTGGGGGCTGAAAAAAAGAACGTTTTAGAAAAAAGACATCAAATGGTAAGTTTAAAAAAAAAAAAATTATTTACAGGTATTTAGTTTTATTGCCTCCTCCCCCCCCCCCCTCACTATGGTTAGGTTGAGGGGGGTTAGGCAGGACTTTTTTATTTTTTGGGGGTGGGTGGTGACTAGGGGCTTGGTCCCCACCCGTCACCCATGGCAGGGGACCTGGGGAGGGACGATGACAATAGATCTGTCCCCCCCATTGTCTTTTAGGGCCCTCATCCGCCGCTCATGGGTGGGGTCCGGGGAGGGAACAATAGGTACCTCTCCGGTCATCTAGGGGAGACCCTATGTCCCTTATTTAGTTGAATAGCCCCCAATCACAGGGCATGAGTGGGGGTCGGGGGGGGGGCACTGTCTCCTCCACTTTTTAAAAGATGCCCCACCATGGGGCTATTTATTAGAAGGGGTAGCTTTTTTTAAAATTATTTTTACAACAGTGAGCAGCCACAGGATGCTCACTGTTTAGTAGATATGCCCCTACTCACGGCATAGCGAGTAGGGGCATTCAGGAGATCTTAATCTCCCTTATGTTAATATGGGGGTCATAGTGAGGACATGGGGCAAGAGGGCTTAGGAAGTGGCGGGGAGCATGGCTCCCTGCCGCTTCTGGTATTACATATTACAAGGAGGGAGCTGCGTGCCTGTAGCTCCCTCCTTGTAATAAACTAAACAAACGAACACCGACATTCGGTGTTTGTTTGTTCGTATGAAATTTCTATTCATTCATTCGTATTTCTGACGAATGAATGGATGAAATTCCTGTCCGAATTTTGGACAATAGCGAATGCCCAAGTGTTTAACTGGGCATGCTTGGGAATTTCACAGTGCTATCTAGTGTGGGCAGATGACGTATCCCACAGAGACTTCATCTGCCCACACAAAGATGGCGGCGCCCAGAACCTAGGTCCGGGCATAAAATAAAGATGAAAAATTTGGTAAATTGGGGGGCAATTAGATGTAGTGGAGTTGGGAGTGGGATTAAAAAAAATTAAACAGATGCTGCCATGATACTGCCGCTTTAAAGGACCACTATAGTGCCAGGAAAACATACTCGTTTTCCTGGCACTATAGTGCCCTGAGGGTGCCCCCACCCTCAGGGACCCCCTCCCGCCCGGCTCTGGAAAGGGGAAAGGGGTAAAAACTTACCTTTTTCCAGCGCTGGGCGGGGAGCTCTCTGCCTTCTCTCCTCCTCCGATCCTCCTCCTGGGCTGAATGCGCACGCGCGGCAAGAGCTGCGCGCGCATTCAGCCGTCGCATAGGAAAGCATTTACAATGCTTTCCTATGGACGCTTGCGTGCTCTCACTGTGAAAATCACAGTGAGAAGCACGCAAGCGCCTCTAGTGGCTGTCAATGAGACAGCCACTAGAGGATTAGGGGGAAGGCTTAACCCATTCATAAACATAGCAGTTTCTCTGAAACTGCTATGTTTATAAAATAATGGGTTAACCCTAGAAGGACCTGGCACCCAGACCACTTCATTAAGCTGAAGTGGTCTGGGTGCCTAGAGTGGTCCTTTAAATGTGCACAGGGATATCCAAGGCAAAAGAGGTTCCGCTAAAAGCAAGAATATCACACTACACTCCCCTATCTATTTTGATCTACAATTCCCATAATGCTGTGCATGTCTAAGGATTGCAGAGAATTATAAGCGTAGTTCAAAAACATTTAAGGTTCTTAGTATGATCTGCATTTATTACAGTTACATTTATTAACAAATTATTTGTGTTCCAGGAATCAAGAAAGAGCCGTCCAAATCAGTTGTGCCAAGAACAATTATGATTGGAGGAAAGGTAATACATTTATTAAATATTAGCTAACTCATAGCCGCTCATTTATTTAGTCCTAAAGTGTAAGGTATGTTACCGAGCGTAAAAAGTGTGTAAATGTGATATAACGAGGATACTTTTACAGCATTTAAGAATTGCAAATATCCGGTAGTTTAAATCACAAATAAAGCAGGATTTACCGATTGGCCCTTGCAGCAAATTTCTCGGCCTATAATTACTGCTTTATTGTATTGCAGGCAGCCCCTGGTTATCACATGGCTAAAATGATCATCAAGCTGATCACCTCTGTTGGAAGTATCGTGAACAGCGATCCCGTGGTAGGAGACAGACTGAAGGTCATCTTCTTGGAGAATTACCGGGTGTCCTTAGCAGAAAAGGGTACTACATGGAGCAAAGCAGCTTTTGGTTTAGAAAGGACATATTTTTCCAATACACACAGCTGCAAGCACTGGTGCAAAGGAACATAGCCTGGTTTTAACTAACAGCTTAGTTGGTAGGCAGCATCAGTTGATGCAAATGTAGTGCTTTCAGAATTTAAGGAATTTATGCGGTGGTTTGATTTTCACTTTAGTGTTCTTAAAGGCAGCACTAAACTATGGCCGTTTAATGGTTATTTACAACCCAGACAGACATATACAGCGCCCTCCACTAACATTGGCACCCTTGGTAAATATGAGCAAAGAAGGCTGTGAAATCTGGTCTTTGTTTACCCTTTTAAACTTTGGTTAAAAAATAAAAAAAATAACACAAAAATACTGTTCTCATGGATATCACGTAATTGCAAACACTACACAGATTTATAAAATATAAATAAATATATTTTAGTTATTTATTGGCACCCCTATGAATTCATATCAGAAAAAAATACATTTGCAGTGTATTTCCATAGATTTATTTTTTAGTACACCTGGGTGACTAGGAATAGGACATTGTTCCCATGAGTAAGACCAAGGAAAAATCTCTGTGATGTGCGGCAAAAGGTTGTTGAGATTCAAAAAAATGGGAAAAGGACGTGTCTATATTGTCTCCTCTGTGAAGAGAATGGTAGGAGTTGCCAATAAAAATCTCCAAGGATCACAGTTGAAGAATTGCAGAAGTTAGTTGTGACTTTGGGTCAGAAAGTCTCCAAAACTACAATCTTAGCAAGGGATCTGAATGAATGGTGTCAGATCCCTTGATATGTATTCTCCAATCTCATAAGACGTTAGAGGAGAAGACTTAGAGCTGTTATCTTGGCAAAAGTAGACACAAAGTATTGACTAAAAGTTTGCCAATAATTGTTCCACACATATAGCTTAAATATCTTTTTGGGATAAACCTTTGTTGAATTTGCAATTTTTGAAATCCCTTAGAGCAGGATATTTTTTTGAACAGAACATCAAAAGGGTAAATCTTTTTTTTTTTACACAGTCCTCTTTGCTTATATTTACCAAGGCTGTCAATAGTAGAGAGTGGAACATTCTGAGAATCTCTCTGAACACACTATTTTTTTTCTTTTCAGTGATCCCAGCCTCCGATCTATCTCAGCAAATATCCACGGCAGGCACCGAGGCTTCTGGTACTGGGAACATGAAGTTTATGCTTAATGGGGCTCTCACCATTGGTACCATGGATGGAGCTAATGTGGAAATGGCAGAAGAAGCTGGAGAGGAAAATCTTTTCATCTTCGGCATGAGAGTGGAGGATGTTGAAGCACTTGATAAGAAAGGGTTTGTATAAGTTTGACTAATAAGCTACATAGTGTTTTTATTAATACAAAAAGAAATATATATATTTTTTGTAACATTCTAGCAAAAACACAGAAAAGCACTAAAACAAGAGGCTTACAAATATTTCAGCTACAGCAAGAGCGGATACCTTTCCAATCCATGCGTCTGAGGACAAGGGCATTCTGTGTCATGTGATCATAGACATGTCAGTGCATTCTCAGTAAATTTAGACAGAGCCTTATGTTTGCATGAACTTGACAAGAAGTTTATTTTTAAAGGAATACTCAAGTCACAAAGCATTTCATCCTGCTGGAGTCTATAATTTTTTGACAACTTATAAAGTGGCCAATTCCACCACTTGTATAATTGGGGGCAGAAAACTCCCCCTGGCTGTCGTTCCAACCCACCCCTGCCCCTCAACCAGTTCCAGATTTAGGGATTACTCAGTTGAGCCAAGGTGTGTTTTTTTTTTTTTTTTTCTCCTCCTTCTAAAAACACATAAACACAACTGGGTAATCACTGAATCCTGGAATGGTAGGGAACATAATGACCCATGATTTGGGAACCACTACGTTGACTAAAGGAAGTGGCATTCATGCTAAATTAGAGTGCACCTGTACAACAGTTCATTAAGAAGCATAGGAAAACTTCAGCACAGATGTACGATCTTACTGAACAGGTGGTCTCGAGAAATGGCAGATTCTGAGAAACTAATAAAATTGATCAATGTTATAAAAATGTTCTTCCCAGTCTGTAAACCTAGTGCTATATATCATTTGAAACCCCATTAGATGACAAATCATAAATATTTTAAACTCATCATAGCCATGACCGCGTAATACTAAATTGTATTATTTTAACAAAAAAGGTACAACGCAAAGGATTATTACGATCGCATACCTGAGCTGCGACAGGCAATTAATCAGATGAGGGATGGACACTTCTCTCCAAGAGAACCAGATCTGTTCAAAGATTTGGTCGATATGCTGATGAACCACGACAGGTAAGATATTAGGGAATCCAGGACCTCATATTCTTACAATACACATCTCACTGTATACGAATATAGTCCAGAATAATAGAATTTGGCACCTGGGAGTTATTTGTTCTTTCCAATGCACCATGTGAAATGAAATTTCAAAAATAAAACGATTCTAAATTCTCAGCAACGTTGCCAGACAAAAAAAAACTACTAAACCAGTTTTAGATTATATAAAACCAGAGGAACGAACTTGGTAAGATATATATAATGCATTACATATATACTATAAAAGCACAATTTTACATTGCCAAAATGTGTGTTTTTTCCCTTCTTAAAATAAATGCAAGTATAAGTTTCCATTTATAAATGCTTAGGAAAAAAACAAAACAAAAACAGTCAATATAATTCATAGTTACATCTTTTTATTAGGGCCGCATGTTGGACATTCATAGAAAACCAACTTGTTTCCAAAGAGAGTTTATGACAAAAGCGACTAAGAAAAAGGTCTTATAACAAAATGGTTAATTATTGATAGCAATAGTTTCTCAGTTTCGTACCCCAGTATTTGCTATTAAAGCTTTTGTATATACAGTGATTCCAAAAGTGAACCTGTCATCCACACATTTTAAGGTATCGATTTTAATAATCTTATTTTGATAATATGGTATTATGGGATGGCCAGCTGTGCATCTACATTGCAGGCTGTGAAATGCTGGCGTGTCACTTCGGGGCAGTAGATTTTGTTTTCTGTCTAATTCGTATAACCAGTTCGCTTACTAGATACCTTCTTTTTTTCATCCTTTCACAGGTTTAAGGTGTTTGCTGATTATGAGGCATATATAAAGTGCCAGGAGAAAGTGGACCAGTTGTACATGGTAAGCCTGAGATGTCACTTTTGTATTGATTAGGATTTCCGTGTGCTAATGAGGTTAAATATATTTCTGTATAAATGCATCAGCGCTCAATAACGTTACAAGAAACACCAAACAAATGTGGAAATTAACCAAACTACTTAAAGGACCACTATAGTGCCAGGAAAAACTTGTTTTCCTGGCACTATAGTGTTAATAGGTCCCGTCCCCCCCCAGCACCCTCATGGCCCCACTCCCGCCGGGCTCAAGAGGGAGGAAGGGGTTCAATTCTTAACTTTCTCCAGCACTAGGCTCCCTCACCGCTGGGGACTCTCCTCCTCCTTCTGATGTCATCGGCTGAATGCGCAAGACGTTGGCGTCTTCTCACTGTGAAAATCACAGTGGGAAGCGCCTCTAGCGGCTCTCAATGAGACAGCCACTAGAGACTGGATTAACCCATATATAAACATAACAGTTTCTCTGAAACTGCTATATTTACAGCAGGCAGGGATGGACCTGGCACCCAGACCACTTAATTGAGCTGAAGTGGTCTGGGTGCCTATAGTGGTCATTTAAGGTTATAGCAAAGAGTAGAAAATAAAGCGGTCGCCAATAGAGTTGAAAATGGACAATAATAGTATTTCAGTTTAAAATAAAACTACAAAATTACATTAATTATTATTATCACCATTTATATAGTGCCAGCAGATTCCGTAGCGCTTTACAATATTGTTGATGGGGGGGATTTAATTATAAATAGGACAATTACAAGAAAACTTACAGAAACGATAGGTTGAAGAGGGCGCTGCTCAAACGAGCTTACAGTCTATTAATATGCATAAACATTTGAAAATGTTTAATAATGGAAACAAATGCATTTTAAATTTAAGAAATCATCTAACCATGACTTTATGAAATAAATAACGTAAGAGTGATTTCTATTTTCTAGAAAAAGAGTTGAAACTTTTCTTTTCTAAAGATTTAGAAAGCACCTTACCTAAACCAATCTTATTTTAATGTGTAAACACATATAACAATATGCTATACAGACCTAAATGACACAATGAACAGTACATAAAATTAATACATTTTAGAAAGCTATTTTTAGATCCTTGAATATCCACTATGTAAGATAATTATTTTTACATTGCACTCACGTAAACATTTGTAAAACTCCTGCCTCCCTTCTACTCTGTTTATGTGAAGCCAGAGTATAATCATCTTTCTCTATGTCTTTATCATACGTACCCACCAGACACCCTTTACTATAAGCAACATAGAAAAGTAAAAATATTAAGTAAATAATCCCAGTGTGATATCAAACAAGATGTATACGTTGTTGCAGAATGTACGTGCAAAATTCATAACAACCTTAATTCTTAAACATTGGCATAAAAAAAAATAAAAAAATTATATATATATATATATATATATATACACACACACACACACACACAGCTCAAAAAAATAAAGGGAGCACTTAAATAACACAATGTAATTCCAAGTCAATCACACTTCTGTGAAATCAAACTGTCCACTTAGGAAGCAACACTGAGTGACAATCAATTTCACATACTGTTATGCAAATGGGATAGACAACAGGTGGAAATTATAGGCAATTAGCAAGACACCCCCATAAAGGAGTGGTTCTGCAGGTGGTGACCACAGACCACTTCTCAGTTCCTATGCTTCCTGGCTAATGTTTTGGTCACTTTTGAATGCTGGCGGTGCTTTCACTCTAGTGGTAGCATGAGACTACAACCCACACAAGTGGCTCAAGTAGTGCAGCTCATCCAGGATGGCACATCAATGCGAGCTGTGGCAAGAAGGTTTGCTGTGTCTGTCAGCGTAGTGTCCAGAGCATGGAGGTGCTACCAGGAGACAGGCCAGTACATCAGGAGATGTGGAGGAGGTCGTAGGGGGGCAACAACCCAGCAGCAGGACAGTTACCTCCACCTTTTTGCAAGGAGGAACAGGAGGAGCACTGCCAGAGCCCTGCAAAATGACCTTCAGCAGACCACAAATGTGCATGTGTCTGCTCAAACGGTCAGAAACAGATTCCATGAGGGTGGTATTAGGGCCTGACGTCCACAGGTGGGGGTTGTGCTTACAGCCAGAGAACACCAAGATTGGCAAATTCGCCACTGGCGCCCTGTGCTCTTCACAGATGAAAGCAGGTTCACACTGAGCACATGTGACAGACGTGACAGAGTCTGGAGAGGCTGTGGAGAACGTTCTGCTGCCTGCAACATCCTCCAGCATGACCGGTTTGGCAGTGGGTCATTAATGGTGTGGGGTGGCATTTCTTTGGGGGGGGCGCACAGCCCTCCATGTGCTCGCCAGAGGTAGCCTGACTGTCATTAGGTACCGAGATGAGATCCTCAGACCCCTTGTGAGACTATATGCTGGTGTGGTTGGCCCTGGGTTCCTCCTAATGCAAGACAATGCTAGATCTCATGAGGCTGGAGTGTGTCAGCAGTTCCTGCAAGACGAAGGCATTGATGCTATGGACTGGCCCACCCGTTCCCCAGACCTGAATCCAATTGAGCATATCTGGGACATGTCTCGCTCCATCCAGCACCACAGACTGTCCAGGAGTTGGCAGATGACCATCCGCCACCTCATCAGGAGCATGCACAGGCATTGTAGGGAGGTCATACAGGCACGTGGAGGCCACACATACTACTAAACCTCATTTTGACTTGTTTTAAGGACATTACATCAAAGTTGGATCAGCCTGTAGTGTGTTTTTCCACTTTAATTTTGAGTGAGACTCCAAATCCAGACCTCTATGGGTTGAAAAATTTTATTTCGTTTTTTTAATTTTTGTGTGATTGTGTTTTCAGCACATTCAACTATGTAAAGAACAAAGTATTTCAGAAGAATATTTAATTCATTCAGATCTAGTATGTGTTATTTTTGTGTTCCCTTTATTGTTTTGAGATATATATATATATATTGTTAATACAATGTTAAACAAAAATCTGCCCACCAGTCAAGCCATAAGACTTGCTTTTCCCACAGAAATCCCAAATCTGCAGTGATGTTACAACCGGAAAGGATTCTGGGTGGGCATATGCAAATTAGTTTAACAAAGAATCACATTTTTGCCTCATTCCATTGTAAACATGGATTCCTTTTAATCTGTGTTTGCAGTATACAACTGCTTGGAACCCAATTTAGGAAAAGATGCAAAACCAGTGAACCACTCATGGACAGCAGTTTCGTTGTTAATGCAACTCGTCAGCAAGAGGTTGGTTACTGGTTTGCTAATGGAGGCTTGGTAGTGCTTGGGAAGCAAAATCCAAATAGGTTATGGTGGGGAAAAATTGTGATTGAAAACCCCTTCCACCTGAAGTCTGTGGATAGTTAATACAATGTTAAATAAAAATCTGCACACCAGTCAAGCCATAAGACCTATAACATATATATATATATATATATATATCTCAAAATCAAAACAAGTCATGTACATGTGAATATATAGGAGAGGGAATTAAGTTTAAGATGGAAGTCCACCACTTCTGCTTCAACCAGAAATTTTGATTCCTACACTGGACAGAAGTTGTGGCTTTCAAGGTTGCATTGTGTTCTCCTTAAGATGGCAATCAATTTTTGAAATAACATTCATATGTGACTTTATTTTCTATTTCAGAACCCCAGGGAGTGGACCAAAAAAGTAATAAAGAATATTGCTTGCTCTGGGAAGTTTTCTAGTGACAGGACAATTAGTGAATATGCAACAGAGATCTGGGGAGTTGAACCATCAGCAGTGAAGATCCCACCACCAAACATACCCAGGGAATAAAATTATGAGGTTGCATGTGCTCTATGTTCTCCACTGCTAGTTTGGTTGGTTCAGGATTAGTGTTTATCCACCAGTTGTGACTTAGAACCACTTTCCCATTAAAGCTTATTTTTGTCTCTGGGGAGGAAAAAAAATTAAAAAAAGATTGCTTTCATTGTGTTTTCCTAAACCAACTGTCCTCCAGTAACACATCATAAATCCAACCTCACAATATTCAGTATATCCAGAAGTGACCAAAGATTATAGTACACAGGTCTTCTGCATGGCAAGAAAATAATTATTCAAGGCCAATTAGTATTCTGGCTATTTCAAGTTACCCTCTACATCGCCATGTTCTTGGACTTTTATCCATAAAGAGCAGGTGTCTTTACAAATACACCTCACAGACGCAGTAGAACCATGGCGTTCCTTATAAAGACCATTTAGATAACAACACAGTGTAGAGGATGTCATCACCAACTGGGGGAAGTGTAAACAATTCTGACATCAGGCTACTAAACACTATAACTCTTCGGTCAAGAATGATATATAGAAAATATGACAGCCACCTTAATTCTTCAGAAAGTATGTTACTGATTGAAAAGTTTGGTTTGGGTCTACAAAAGAGCACATTTCCCCCAGGCATACACTTGATTATCAGAATAAGCATTCTCTGTGCTAGACTGATGAATAGTGTTTTATAGGAAAACAGGCCGTTATGGGCATAGTTCTAGGATTGGGCATTTAATGTTCTGTAACAGAAAGCAGCTGTCTGTGGGTAGACACGAAGGTGCTATAACCACTTAGAGTACCTTCCTGATTCACTAATAAACCGTCCTGAGGAATGTTGTAGCTTATATTATGCTCACTGTAAGACTTTAAAAAGTGTGCGAGGAAAGAAAGTCTGAGCAAATCCTGTGTTTATCATTGTATTTGTGTTTCTTTGTAAAAGCAGAATTGCTTTCTTATTTGTGTGTGTGATATTTAAAGTACTGTATTTCTAAACTAAATGATTTGCACGATCACTCCTGTTTGAGGCTCTTGGGACTGACACCTTCCACTATTTTAAGCCAATACCTACAGAAGTTTTCAGCACTCAGACCGTTTATTGATGGAATGCAAAAATGTGTGTAGGAACCCATACAATTCCACAGCTTTAAACACAAAGCACTTACAAGCCATTTTGCACTTGTGTAATTTGAAATGTTTACTGTAAATGAGACATTCTGTAATGGCATTAGTCTCTTAACTACCTTGTTTATGTACAAAAATAATACTCCAATTAAATTTATGGGCAAAAACATTGCTCCACGAGGTCTATACGGAAATATATTGCGGTCTGGTTTATACCAAACGTATCAATAAGTGTGTCAGAACCTCTGCAAAACACCTCCTATATAACAAAGAAAAAACAAAAGTAAACAACCACAGGAAGGGAGTAACATTAGTAGCGCGAGACAGTTCTATCTACTTATCTCTAATGTGCAGTTAGATGCAATTAGCGAGCCGCATTTAAAGTACATGGCCTCTAAGCACAATTGTTCACTTCTACTCTCCCTCCTCCCATTAAATATTGCCACATTTTCAGTAAACTGTAAATCACAATGCTGAAATTTACATGTTTTCTAAGGCACTGATTGGGGAGGTTTGGCAGGGCAAAAGAAGTGCTAATCTAAAGCAACTCGCACAACAAGTTGTGATCACAATGAAAACCAACAGCAGATTGCGCTAGGTTTTGCACTTTGTCTTAGAATAGCACCTGGTTTTGCCTTGATAAATTCTTTTTTAAAGTTTTGAGATATTCCAACGCTGGTTAGAGTTCTGCTCCATATCAGCTATCCCTAGGTATAAATTGGGATAGTGAAATAAGAGCAGCAAGAGTAAACTTTGCAAGGGCTTAGTCTAGGATTAGCATGCAAAATGCATTATAAAATCAAGACAAAGAAAATTGAGAAAATAGCCATGTACCCCCCTTACACTTTCATATTACCAACACGTTTAGTTGAATGGCAATTCAAATATATACACATAGATTTGAATGGGTATTAAAGAAATGTAAAAGCGCAGTGTGGACTATAGATTTGGTTACATGTCAAGTATGCAACGAGCGTTAGAAGATGATGCAGAGAAAGTATAACTGTGTGAATGATACTGTGTTCCTTCTCCAAGATACTCATTCCCCTGAGCATCAATGACCAATAAACATTTACTAAATTAATTCCCGGCTCTTGTATTTTATGGACTAGGTGGTGGCAAAGTGTGATTTCAGCCCAGGATATAAATTTACACTATGTCTGTTTTCATTTTTAAAAAATAGCAAATGGGACAGATAGTTGTAAACATTAAACTACGATGTAAGGTAATTTTACTGCAGAAAGACGTGTTATCAGAAGCAAGCTATGTAACTTTTTTCCCCCAGTCAGATTAGAGGCAGGACAAGTCCATAGCGATTTCCACCTAGCTCAGACTGGCTAAAAGATAGAATTAAGACTTTTAAATTCCTCCTCACCTCCTACCTTGTATAAATACAGGTAATAACATAAGATCCCCAATTATCTGCATGTCCTCAGAATAGGAAGGCACTCTAGGTTTTTATTTTTGATCTGGAAATGGTGAGGCAGCTGTAGTTTGTGAGAGGCTTTGTCCAGCTGAGGTAGAAGGGTTTCCTTCCATGGGGCCTCTATCTGCCATGTAGCCATGGATTGCAGACTGGATTGCCTGTGTTCCAGGTTATCAGTTCTTAAAGGAGCACCCTGGGCACCATAACTTTGTGGAAATTAAGTTTTGGTGCCAAAAAGTCGTTTTCTTACCTGAAAGGGTTAAACCATTCTCAAACGATTTAACCCCTGGAGGAATGGAGGATTGCTCCTCCGTATTCATTAATGTCATCGCTGTGTTGTATGCAACATAAATTAATGTTTAGATGTTTAGACCTCTGGGGTGGAGCATTCAGGGAGTAGGGCAGGCCGGTGCTCCACTTCTCAGTTTACAGGTAACTGGGAGAAATAAGGTTCATGCCAGGAATTCCGACGGTCTCCAACCTATTGCTCAGCTGCAGAAAGGGAAATAAATCCCTCGCTGCTAGGCAGGTAGCAGAGACTTTATTTCTCCTTTTGGGGGCTGGAAGCAGCAGGTTGACTTGTGACCGAGTACTGGAATGCAGAAAGTTGACAGTCAAGGTCGCTGAGCACTGGAGTGCAGAAAAGTGACTATAAACAAGGTTGATGAAACCTGTGTTTTATTTAGGTCTAACCCTTGATAGTTAGGGACATGAATGTTTAAACCTCAGAAGAGCTAGGATTTTGTTTCTAGGGATTTCTTGTATTTTATTTCTTTGGTATTGTTTCTGATGCTGCCTTCTGAGTGGATTGCAAAATAAAGAAGCCTGAATTTATGTTAATTCTACAAGACTGCGCATGTTTATAACCTAGAGGACTGTGCTATTTGCAATACAGGATCACATCACACAGTAACCTAAAACCAAGATCAACCTTCTTTCCTACGAACCTCATCCCAGCTGGTATGAACCTTTTGAAGAAATGGTCGTAGAGGAAATTAAGAAAATCAAGTGGAATAAATACTAGAGAAATAACCTCAGGAAGAAAGAAATGGAAGCCTTAGATGATCTGTTGTGTAACCCAGATATAATTATAAAGCCTGCAGACAAAGGGGATGGCATAGTTATATTATCACAATCATTATCTGAAAGAGGCTATAGGCTCCTTAATGATTGGGAGACATGAGATTCTAAGAGATGACCCATTGACAGCTCTGACCACTGCTTTAGCAACACTACTCAATGAAACAAAATAAGAGGGTATCATAAAAAAAAATCTACATATCCAACATCCAAGAACCCCAGCCTTCTACGTCTTATCAAAGATACATAAAAATCTGGCTAAACCACCAGGGACCAATCATTCGTGAATGGACCTTCTTACATCCCATTTATCCCAATACAGGGCTTGACAAATTTGCTTTGAATCTAGGAGCCAGCAAAAAAAGTTAGGAGCCAGGTTTTTCAATGTCAAAAATAAAATTCTTAAAGGGACACTATAGTCACCAGAACCACTACAGCTTAATTTAGTTGTTCTCGTGTCTATGACCTGTTCTTCCACACTTTTCGATGTAAACCCTGCCTTTTCAGAGAAAATGCAGTATTTACATTGTTGCCTAGTAAGACTTCTAGTCAAAGTCACTCAGACGGCTTCTAGAGTGCATCCTGGGTCAGTGCTGCATCTAAGTTTTGCATCTCCACGCTCTGCATGGAGGCGCGGAATGTTACCCATAGAGATGCATTCAATTCAGCTCGATGTGGAGATGCGGATTGGCGCAGCATGGCATTTTGCCACACATGTGCAATAGCCTCCCAATGCTTTCCTATGGGAAAGCATTGAATTGGTTGAGATCATCAAGATTGATGATTGCAGTCATTGAGACAGGGCCAGCTGCGGGAGACCAGCACAGCATTGGGGAGGGGGAGGTGAGTAAAAAACCCTCACACGTGGGATTGAAGGGGAAATCAGTCACCTAAACACATACTCACATTCACTGTCAGTCAGGGCCGTCTTTAATTTAGATTGGACCCTGGGTGAGCATTTACTTGGGCCCCCTGACTACGTCTAGATACACACAAATACACTACCTGACACACATGCAGATACACACTGACCACATATAGAAACACACAAGAACATACAGATACACACAGACTACATATAGATACACTGACACACACACAGATACAAACACTGACATACATGCAGATACAAAGGTACACACACTGACTACTTATAGATACACCGACACACACACTGACAGACAGACACACAGACCTGACACACATGCAGATATACAGATACAAACACTGACACATACAGATACACACACAAATACAAATGGACAACATACAGATACAGAGACACATTCTGACAGACGTACTGACACAGACTCATACACAGAAAACCATACTGAAACACACATACACAAAGACATACTGAACCACACAGACTCTGATGGACTCTCACACACACACAGACATACAGATACACTGACAGACGTACTGGCACATATACACACAGACAGATGGACATACTGAAACACACATACACACAGACATTGACAGACATATTGACAAACACAGACATACAGAACCACACTGACAGACTCACACATAGACATACTGACAGACATACACACATTCTGGCACACACACAGACAGACTGAAACACACAGACACAGACACTGACAGATATACACACATACAGACATTTTGAAACTCACAGACAGCCATACTGAAACACACAGACACTGACAGACTCACACAGACATACTGACACACTGACAGACATACTGGCACACAGACAGACATTCTGGCACACAGACAGACATTCTGGCACACAGACAGACAGACATGCTGAAACACACATACACACACAGACAGACACACACATACAGACAGACATGCTGAAACACACATACACACAGACAGACAGACATGCTGAAACACACATACACACAGACACTGACAGACAAACACACATCCAGACATTTTGACATACACAGACAGCCATACTGAAACACACATACACACTGAACCACAGACACTGACAGACTCACACACAGACATACTGACACACTGACAGACATACACACATACAGACATACTGAACCACACAGACACTGACAGACAAACACACATCCAGACATACAGATACACTGACAGACTTTGATAACCACCCTCCAGTTTCTTACCTTGTCCTGGAGGGTGGCTTCCCTGGGGTCCAGTGGGGTGGCTGGGAGTTAAGCTCTCCCGGCCTGGCCCCCTCCCGAACAGCTGGTCTGCCTTCCTCCCGCGCGGCTCCAGTTTCTGTGGGAGGAAGTGACGCACGGCTGTCACTTCCTCCCACTGCTGACGAAAAGCAAGGGCCCGGTCGCGCTGTTAAAGCGCCCGACCGGGCCCCTGCTGACACAGGCCCACCGGGTGGCCCTAAGTGCATGGGCCACCCGATGGGCCCCCATAGTTTGCGGGCAGAGGGCAAACAGGGCAGTTACCTCGGGCCCCCCAGCAGGGACAGGGCCCGGAGCAGCTGCCCCGTTTGCCCCGCGTTAAAGACGGCCCTGCTGTCAGTGCAATAACACACATTAAGGTGACCACCCAGCCTGTCTACCTGGAGCAGGAGTAATTCAGCTTTCCCTGTGGGGCTTCAGCAGGGCCGGTGCATGGATTTTTGCCGCCCTTGGCAAAAGTAAAGTTTGCCGCCGCCCTCCCCCCGTGACATCACAATGCCCCACCCATTGTAACGAGAATATACCCCAACACGCAGGATTCAGCTAAACAGAAGACAACACAGAGGAGAGATACGTCTACCGGACCTTAGAATGGCCGGACTCGACGTATATGAGAGGAGACAGAGTCAGGAACGATCCGAAGTCAAGGGCACAGAGAGACAGCATAAACTAGGACAAGCCGGGGTCTGGTACACAGTAAACAGCAAGTCGACAACCAGAACAGATAAGGATAAAGAGAAAACGTAGTCAGAAACAAAGCCAAAGTCAATACGGAGAAACACAACTGAACACAACAAGCGCTAAAGGGAACTGAAACAGAAACCACGATAGGGCAGGGAGTAAAGGGAGAGGTAAGTTTAAATAGCTTCTAAACTAATGTGATTGGCTCCTGTCATATCCACACCCCCAAAAGGTAAGTGTATGGGGAGTGTGGCATGACAGGGGCCAATGGGAGCCTTTTGACAATTTAGGCTCCCACTGTCTCTTTAAGAGCGCGCCCGAGACTCACGGCGCGCTCTTAGATTCAGGTGGGACACGTGACCGCTGAAATCCAACTGCGCTCCTCAGGCCCATAACCCTTCCAATGCACCAAGTACTGAAGTCGACCCCTAAGGTAACGAGAGTCAAGAACAGCAGAGACTTCGAATTCCTCATGACCCTCCACGGAGACAGGAGGGGGAGGCGGAGAATGCCGGGTATAGCGGTTGCATACGTAAGGCTTCAACAACGAGGTGTGAAATACATTAGGAATACGCAGATTCCTAGGAAGACCCAAGGCGTATGAAACAGGATTAACTTTATGCAGTATACGATAAGGACCTATGAAGCGGGGAGCCAATTTCATAGAAGGCACCCGCAGGCGAATATTCCGCGTGGAAAGCAAAACCCTGTCCCCCACAACATAAGTAGGAGCCGCCCTGCGATGCTTGTCAGCCTGAGCCTTCTGGCGAGCAGCGGAATCCACCAAAGAACG